CTTGTCCGCGATACGTCCGCGGACAAGCTCTCCTCCCGCACGCTTCCCTGTGTCTTCCTTGGCTTTGTCCCTGACGCGCCTGGCTGGCAGTTTTACCACCCCACCTCGCGCCGGGTCTTCGCCTCTCAGGATGTCACCTTTGACGAGTCGGTCCCTTTTTACCGTCTCTTCCCCTACCGCACTGCCCCCCTCCCTCCCCCGCCGCTTTTCCTTGCTCCTGGTCCCCCTCCGGTAGACCCCCTTCCCCCTCAGGGTCCTGCTCCTTCAGGTGTCTCTCAGGTAGACCCTCCTCCCGTCGCTGAGCCTGTCGAGGTCACAGGTGACTCAGGTGCTGCTGCGGGTGGTGCTGCTGGGAGTGCTGAGCCTAGGGGTGCTGAGCCTGGGGGTGCTGGGCCTGGGGGTGCTGGGGCTGCGGGTGCTGGGACTGAGGGTGCTGGAGCTGAGGGTACGGTGCCTGAGAGTACGGAGCCTGGGGGTGCTGAGCCTGCGGGTGCTGAGCCTGCGGGTGCGGGGCCTGGGAGTGCTGGGACTGCGGGTGCTGGAGCTGAGGGTACTGTGCCTGAGAGTTTGCCGCCTGGGGGTGCTGAGCCTGGGGGTGCTGCGACTGGGGGTCCTGAGCCTGCGGGTACTGAGCCTGCGGGTACTGAGCCTGGGGGTGCTGCTACTGAGCCTACGGAGCCTCGGGTTACTGCGTCTGGGGGTGCTCCGGTTCGGGGTGCTGAGCAGTCTCTCACACCGCAGCAGCTTCGTGACTGGTACGTCCGGCGCTTTCGCCGTCCTAGTGGCTCGGCTGGAGTTGGGGGTGCTGGGGCTGCTCGTCCTGGGGTGCTCGTACTGGGGGTACTGGAGCTGCCGGGACTGGTTGTTCTGGGAGCACTGCGACTGGAGCTGCTGGAGCTGGGGACTCTGGCGCTGGCGGTGCTAGCGGAGTTGGAGCTGCCGACTCTGGGGGTGGCGCTGCTGCTGGTGCTGCGGACCCGCCTGGTGGAGCTGCTGCTGGAGCTGAGGACCCGAGCGGTGGCGCTGCTGCTGGTGCTGGGGACCCGGACGTTGGAGCTCCTGCTGGTCCTGAGGACCCGGCCGCTGGAGTCTCTTCTGTTTCTGGAGACGCTGCGCGGCCGCGACCGTACTTTGTACCGCTCCTTCAGCAGGTTCTTGGGCAGGCTCCTCCTCCTTGTCCTCCTCCCTCCGTAGAGTGTCCTCCGCCTGTCCAGCCGCAGTCACAGTTACCGCCTGCCTCGCCTCTCCCTGCTCCCTCTCCTTACGCTGGTCCCACAGGAGGTCTTACAGAGCGTCGTGAGCCTGAGTCTCATCCTGCGTCGCCTGTTCGTCCTGCTCGCACTGGTAGTCGTGTCCGTCGTGAGCGTCCTCCTCCTGTCCCAGGCACTCACTACATGACTCTGCGTCCCTCTACTGCTCCTCGGCGTGTCCCTCTACCGTCTCCTCCTGCGTCCTCTTTGCCTGCCGTTCCGGACCCTGAGTCTGACCGGTATCGCGCTGAGCACCCTACAGTCACGCGTCTCCTAGCTACTGTTGTCACTGACCCTACCTTTGAGTCCTCGGCTGCGTCTGCTCTGGTCGCTGAGTTGGTTGACTTTGCTGCTGCCTGTCGTCTAGACTACGCTGCTAGCCTTGTTGCTGAGTCAGAGTCTGCGTCTGTCTGTCCTCCGTTCGTCGGGGGTGAGTGTGCTCTTGGCACGGACGTCCTTGAGGACAGGCAGGAGGACTTTGACTCTCTTGCGGCTGCTGTACCTCATCTCGTGGCCTGGTTGCTTGCCCCTGAGGGAGACCCGGATGCACTAGACATCCCCACTCCGCGCACTTACGCAGAGGCGATCTCGGGTCCCTACTCCTCTCAGTGGCAGACAGCCATGGACGCAGAGATGGCATCCTGGAAGTCCACAGGCACCTACGTCGACGAGGTTCCCCCTCCTGGGGCGAACATCGTCGATGGCATGTGGATTTTCAGGGTGAAGCGGCCGCCAGGTTCTCCGCCTGTCTTCAAGGCTCGTTACGTTGCTAGAGGCTTCAGTCAGCGTCAGGGGGTCGACTTCTTCCAGACCTTCTCCCCCACCCCGAAGATGACCACTCTTCGGGTTCTGCTGCACGTTGCTGCTCAGCGTGACTACGAGCTTCACTCTCTTGACTTCAGCACAGCGTTCCTGCAGGGCAGCCTGCACGAGGAGATCTGGCTGCGCCGCCCACCTGGCTTTACTGGGTCGTTTCCCCCTGGTACCCAGTGGAGTCTCCGCCGGCCAGTCTACGGTCTCCGCCAGGCGCCACGTGAGTGGCACGACACACTGAGGACTACACTTGCGGCTCTTGGGTTCGCGCCGTCTACTGCTGACCCGTCGCTGTTTCTGCGCACAGACACGTCGCTGCCGCCGTTCTACATTCTCGTGTACGTCGACGACTTGGTCTTTGCTACTGCTGACACTGAGGCACTCGCTCGTGTGAAGTCGGAGCTGCAGAAGAGACACACCTGCACTGACCTGGGTGAACTGCGTAGCTACCTTGGCTTGCAGATCACCCGGGACAGAGCTCGCCGCACCATCACCCTGACTCAGTCACACATGGTGCAGCAGGTCCTTCAGCGCTTCGGCTTCCAGTTCTCCTCACCACAGGCCACACCTCTGGCTACCAGCCACTCGCTCTCAGCTCCACCTTCGGACGAGTCCGTAGAGCCGAGTGGCCCGTACCCAGAGCTTGTAGGCTGCCTCATGTACCTGATGACTTGCACGCGACCTGACCTCGCGTACCCTCTTAGCATCCTTGCTCGTTACGTTGCGCCTGGGAGACACAGGCGAGAGCACTGGGAGGCTGCTAAGAGGGTGCTGCGTTACTTGTGCAGTACATCAGGCATGGGGCTGGTGCTTGGAGGACGCGACAGAGTTGTCCTCACTGGTCACTCGGACGCTTCTTGGGTGGACGACCTGGCTACGCAGCGGTCGTCACAAGGTTACACCTTCAGCCTTGGCTCTGGTTCTGTCTCGTGGCGGTCCACCCGCTCTTCCTCTGTTCTCGGCTCTAGTTGTGAGGCTGAGATCTACGCCACAGCCATGGCTGCACAGGAGTTACGCTGGCTCACCTACCTGCTGACTGACTTGGGAGAGCGGCCTAGTTCTCCTCCAGTTCTGTACGGTGACAACAAGGCGGCCCTTGCCTTGTGTCAGGAGCACAGACTGGAGCACAGGACGAAGCACATTGCTCTTCGCTACTTTCTTGCTCGAGAGCTTCAGCAGCGCGGTCAGCTTCGGCTTGTGTACGTGGACTCGAAGGCCAACACTGCTGATATTTTCACCAAGGCGCTCCCGCCTAGTGATCATCAGCGGCACTGTACTTCTTTAGGCCTTGTGTCCACGTTTCCTCACTTGCTCACTGCTTGACATTCTTTGTACTGTACTTTATATATATCTTGTTGCTTGCTTGCTAGGTTTTGATCACTGTGTTGCTTGTCTTGTACTATATCTAGCACTGCATGTGAACTGGCCTTGTGGCCTTTACTTGTGCTCGGAGTGTGGTGACGTTGTGATCCACCCTGGGCTTTGCTTTGCTTTGCTGGACTGGTCTTGTGACCCTTTGTTCTCCCCCACTTTGCCTATGGGGGTGTGTTAAACTGTATTATGCTTGTAGGCTGTAGTGGGGTAGCCAATATGGGGTACAACCCCAACTAGGGTTTCATATTTGTACCCAAACTTCTGCTAGTTCAATTCATTCTTGCCTAGTTATCTTAAGACACGCAACACAACACACACACGCACACACACACACACGCGCGCGCGCGCGCGCGCATACACACACACATACATACACACACACACACACACACACATGCACGCACGTACGCACGCACGCACTCATGCACGCACGTACGCACGCACGCACAGACGCACGCATGGACGCACGCACGCACGCACGCACACACACACAAATGAACCTGGGTGCATTTTCGGAATTTCAAACCCTACGAGCGTATCTCGGCCGATGTTTAGGGTTGATATGATTCCGAATTGCATGCGTTTCCGAGCATGTTATCTTACTTTCAAAGTTAATAGTTTCAGGCGGGAGAAGTGCATACCGTATGGCCCCGGATATAGGCGCCGTCTTATTAAAGGCGCCGGCGCTTATATCTGGAGCATGGCGCTTAAGGCCGCTCCTTAATTATAAGCCCCCCCCACCCCCCCCCCCCCCCCCCCCCCCCCCCCCCCCCCCCCCCCCCCCCCCCCCCCCCCCCCCCCTAGGAAACCATGAACTTATTATAAGCGCATGTGTAATTTTATTTTAAATCCTTGCTTAAAACGGTAACGAAATTAATTTTTGCAGCGAGTCAGACTTCAATTTCGCTTCGCTTGACTCGCGAAGACCTGACTGGCTGCGCGTCCAGTCAGGATGTGCTGGCATGACGTGTCTTTGCCTGTTTGTGCACCCAGAATATCGCTTGCGCGAGATTCTGCTTTGTGACGCTAAAATATTTCGACTCGATTGAAATGGCAAGAAGAAAATGAACAATTTAGTGCTCTAAATATATAATTTCGTATTTGTCATTATATAAGCGCCGGCGCTTATGGCCGTGACTCAATTACAGGTACAAGCGCCCCCCCTAAAAAAAATGAATTTATTATTAGCGCATATGCGCCTATATCCGGGGCCTTACGTTAGTTTCAGGTTTTTTTTTTTTTGGCAGGAGTTTCATGTGTGACCATTTCCATGATTTCTTTCAGTCTTGTTAGCGACTAAATGCGTTAACTCAATTACCAAACCCGCTGAAACATTAGATACAGTCGTGTACGCGTGATAGTTCTTATCGGAATCATTATGTGGTATGTTTTTTTGGAGCTAGGGAAGGTCCCCCATTTTGTCAGTACGTGTGAGGGAGACAACAGGAAGGGTACCCCTTTTGTACACCCTGTATCCCACAATCATTGTGTTTTCTATATGTACAATTGATTAGTCCCTGCGACCAGGTGAAAAGTTAGTCTCATTCGCTTGAATTCAGCCACATGAGGTGCTTCACGTTCAAAAGAAATCACGAAAACTTTAATTTTAGCCGCGGGTAGGATAACATGGAAACGCTATAATCCAACACTCACTTTGCACAAATATGCTTGACGAAACAGTAACGTGTACTCAAGAAAGGGAATCTGCAACGGATTTTTGTGAAGCTAGATACCGCATTCTTGATATGGTAGCGTATAACGAGAAAATTTTGCACACTGCATAGTGACATGTGCAATGCAGTGTAGAGGCGTGGCGAAACTGGCTTGGAACGTGAGCCCCAAACGCAATTGCGAGAACCCCATTTACCATTTTACCATTTTTGGAATTTCAACGACCTCTAGTCGGCCGAAAGTTCTGGATACTGTGGTGTCAGACAGCTATGACTCCTGGTCCCGTGCTACTTATTACACCCCACTTAAATCTCTAGGGGGTTATTTTTAAGTGGGGATGTCGACAAACGTCGAGATATGCGAGAGACTCTCTCGCATATTTGGGAGCTGAACTGCCAGAACTTAGACCCGAGGCATCTCACTGTTCACTCTCTCGGGAAGTTCTCGATGATCCCTCCACTTGAGACACCCTTCTCACTACTTCCCAGTTGCGTCCTTCGTATATTATTGCTACCACGCCAAACACACAGAACAATGTCTCGTCATAACCCTAGGTAGTAGTAGTTGCGGCGTACTGTCCTGCCGTAGCCAAATTCCGAGCAGGTCTGCTTCTTGCCTCGTAGTGGTACCGATCATGGCGGAGGCGGTCGCGGTAGTGCGCGCGAAGAAGCAGACGGAGGCGAATGGCGAAAGAGATGTGGCGGTGCTATCGCGGTCGGAGAGTTTGCTGGACGACAAGTTTGATGCGTATGAGACGGCCAATTATCGCATGTGGGTTCGGTCCAAAACCGAGGCGTTTTCCAGGTGAGACGAGCATCATCCATGCTTTCGCCGTGTGAAAGTTACTAACTGTAGTACTGCGAACTGGTGAGCTGGAACTTGCGACGGCTTGTTACATAGAAAATGCAGCGTTCGTTAGTGCCACATTTTCCAATTGGCATTAAAAGCACGGGAGTTCCGTGCCAAGCTGCGGCTTTTCCCTTCGCTCCGCCCATTTCCAACTCTTCTTCCGCCCTCCGCCTCGCTTCAGGCGCAAGCCTTCGGGGTCTCGAGGCCACAAGAAGCACAACTTGGATTTCCTGAATAGCTATGGGTTCGCGCCGCAAAATGCGGAGCTCATGACACGTGTCGAAGAAAACTCGTCGTTCAATCAGGCCGCAGAGGGAGACGAGGAAGAGCAGGGTTACGGCGGCGACGGGGTCTTCAGGAGCTCGGAGAGCGAGGCGGCCGAGAGGTTGGCGGAGGAAGGGAGAGTTGGCGGAGAAGGTTCCAAGGCTGAGGGAGCGCGGAACAGCAGCGACAACAGCAGCGGCGGCAACAGCAGCAGCGGCAACAGCGGCAGCAGCGCAAGCAGCCACGGGAGTAGTGCGGAGGAGGAGAGGAGGCTGTGTGATTCGCTGCGTCATTGCGGCAAGGACAGGCGGGCGAGCACGCGCGACGAGAGCTGCGCGGATGGTGCGGAGGACGGAGAGGGGAAGGAGACCGCGGCAGGGGCTCTTTTGAAGCGCAGCTTGACGGCGGATGCAACGGGGAAGACCATGGCGCGGGGGGGTGCGCCTAGTAACGGCTTGGCGGAGAGCATGATGGCGGCGGGGGGCGAGAGCATGATGGCGGGCGCGGGCTTGCCGCGATCGGCGAGTGAGGTCACGCTGCAGGACGCGGAGGTGGACGAGATGGACAGAGAGGTGCTGCAAGGTGCGCCCAGGTTCACAGCGGTGCTAGAACTACTGGGCTGGGCTGGGCTGGGCTGTGGTCTGATGCACCGCCCTCTGTCGTAACTCGTTGCTCGCCCACCCTCACCGTCATCGCTGCTCGTAACCACCTCATCGTCCACGCGACCACGCCGCAGCTGCCTGCAAACACTCCCCCATTCCCTTGAAATCTTTCCCCTACTTATCCCCTCCTCCCTTCATCCCACCTTCCCCCTCAATGACCCCCCCCCCCCCCTTTCTCTCTCCCATGTCGGTGCGTGGCAGAGGCGTTCGTGCGCGTGGTGGCGCTGCAGCAGCGAGTGCAGCACTACCGTGACCTGGGCTTGTTCGTGGTGCTCATGGCGCTCTTCATCACCATCCTCTACCTCCAGGCCGACTCCTCCAGAAGCTATGAAATCACCGCCGCGCACTCCGTGCTCTTCCCCCCCGTATGCCCCCCCGTTTCCCCACTCCATGCTCTTCCCCCCCGTATGCTCCCCCCTTACCCCACTCCGTTCTCTTCCCCCTCGTATGCTCCCCGCTACCCCTCTTGTGCTCATCCTCGATTGCTTCCCCCAAACCCTCCACACTCCCCCACGCATTCCTTCTCTCTATACCCGCCTGTATGCTCCCCACTTGGGGTGCCGCAGCCCTCATTGGTTCTTTCTAACGCATTCATTCAACCGCACTGTCATTATAGCGCGCATTCACTGGGGCGCGCATTGGGGAATCGTAGCATGGGTGCAGTGCAGTGATGATGCCAGTGGGGCCCTTGGCGTCAGTCAACCTGCATCCTGCTCACTCTCTCAGGGCCCTTGCTGTCGTACAGCCTTCTAACACATTCTTATGCGATCACTACTACTGCCGTGCCCTTGCTTAGCTCCCCCGAACCACACCACACCACACCACACCACACCTCCTCTCAGTCGACTCCCCTCGCCCTTGGCCCTAGTTGCACCTTCCCCCGCCCAAGAGCAGGGCATGCGTCAGGACGCCTCCAACACCTTCGCTGGACCGGATGATTTCTACAGCTGGCTCAACGCCACCATCGTGCAGGTGCGTCCCCTCCCTCCCCCCCTCGTGTCGCATCGCTCCTCATGCACCTGCTGCTGCTGCTGCTGCTGCTGCTGCTGCTGCTGCTGCTTGCTGCTGCTGCTGCTGCTGCTGCTGCTGCTGCTGCTGCTTCTGCTGCTGCTGCTGCTGCTGCTGCTGCTGCTGCTGCTGCTGCTGCTGCTGCTGCTGCTGCTGCTGCTGCTGCTGCTGCTGCTGCTGCTGCTGCTGCTGCTGCTGCTGCTGCTGCTGCTGCTGCTGCTGCTGCTGCTGCTGCTGCTGCTGCTGCTGCTGCCTGCTGCTGCTGCTGCCTGCATTGCATAATATCCCACACACTTTTCCAACGCATTCGCAAGCCTGGATGTCTTCTACAGCTGGCCCAACACCAGCATCGTGTACGTGTGTGTGTTCCCGCCCTCTCCCCGCCGTCTTTGACTCGAAGCTCCTGAAGCACTTAATGCATGTTTCTTCCCTACCCGCGCCGCCCACCCACGTGGCATCGTATCGGAGCCCGCCTTAAAGCCACATCGCACACACTCGTCGGCTCGTCGCTGCTCTCTGACCCGCCACTCTCTCCGCCACGCCACCGCTGCACTGCATGCAGAGCCTGTGGGCGGACCCCACGTGTGGTGACGGCTCGTGCGACCGCCCTTTCCAGTTCCCCGCGTTTGGCCGCTTCGGCTGTGAAGCAGACTGCGGCATGTTCCCCAACCTCACCTCCGTCGTCGTCAGATTCTCCTCCCACCTCGACACGCAGCAGGCTATTGACGAATCTTCCTGGAACCTCTGCATGGTCAACCCGGTCTCCCTCTGCTGGTATGCGCATCCTTTCCTCTCCTCAGACAGCAACCCTTGCTGCATGCATCTTCTGTCCTTCCGCCTCTCTCTGCCCTTCTTGCCATTCTCTCTTGTGTTCTCTGCTCATGCCACCACACTCCACCCCATCCCATCCCATCCCACCACACGGCCATGTGTGGTACGTACGGTACGTAACGCAGGTACGAGGCGTTTCAGGCGTTTCCGCGGGGCGAGGCGGAGGCATCAGTGGCTTTAAACATTCCGGACGGCGACTGGGTGTTGGTGCTCAATGCGCCCGCGGGGGGGGAGACTTTCCAGCCGACTCAGAAGTCACCTCAAAGTCACCCGATGTGCATGTGTGTGTGTGTGTGTGTGTGTGTGTGTGTGTGTGTGTGTGTGTGTGTGTGTGTGTGTGTGTGTGTGTGTGTGTGTGCGGGCTACGCAGGTACGAGGCATTTCAGCCGTTCCCCCGCGGCGAGGCGGAAACATCAGTAGCGTTGGACATTCCGGACGGCGACTGGGTGGTGGTGCTCAACGCGCCTGCGGGGGGCATCCGCGGCACCGTGCACGTGGCCCCTCCCGGCACGCGCCGCCTCTCCGTCGTCGGTGCCGCCTCCACCATTGAGCTCGCCTCTTGGGGGTCCTGCGCGCTTGATGATGGTGCTGTGGCAGCCAATCAGACAGAGCCAAGTGGCGGCGCTACTGTCGCTCCGTCTGACATCTGTCGTGATGTGAGTGAGCGTGTCGTTGCTCTATGTGCTACCGCGGTAGGACAAACTCACAAGTCGTCAGGCATTCTTTCACAGCTGAGTGTGTGCATGGCTTTATTTGCATATTATCACAATCCCACCCACTGATGCATGCACGCATGCATGCATGTGCTCGTGACTGCGTGCAGACGTGTGCAAGGCTGGTGGCCTGCCTGCCAGCAACCTGTGGGCGAGAATTCACGGAGAGGGAGGTGGCAGGGGCGTTTGTGGACTGTGCGCGCATGTGCATCATCGCACCCTCCTCCATCACCACCTATGCCGCCTCTCCCTGCCCCATGGTGCGCTCCCTGCCCCATGATGCGCTCCCTGCCCCATGATGCGCTCCCTGCCCCATGATGCGCCCTTGCCCCATGATGCGCCCTTGCCCCATGGTGCGCCCTTGCCCCATGGTGCGCCCTTGCCCCATGGTGCGCCCTTGCCCCATGGTGCGCCCTTGCCCCATGCTTCGCTCCCTGCCTCGTGCTCTGCTCCTGCCTCGTGCTCTGCTACCTGCCCCATGCTCCACTCCCTGTGCGTCGTGATTCCGATACTCTTCACTTCATACAACCATGCCTCTCCCTGCACCATTCTGCCTGCCTCAACCCCTGCCCTTATTTCTCTCTTCCTCCTGCCCTCACAATCCCACCTGCGATGCCCCATCGTACACTCTCCCAGCCGGAGATTGCATCGGTGTTTTCCAACACCCCATGCAACGTTTCAGGTACGTACTGCCTGCACGTGCCAGTATGCCATGCTCCCCTTGCACTCTTGCCACATACCAGCCTCTTTCATATGCACTCCTCTCACTCATTGTACATGCCTGTCCACATGGTCTCTCCTTGTCTCTCCTTGCCTCTCCTCTCCTTGCCTCTCCTTGCCTCTCCTTATCTCTCCCTGCTCTGCTGATACGTTCTGTGCAACCAAGTTCCTCTCCTTTCCGTGCATGCCGCAACCCCCTTCACTCTCTGCGCCTCACTAATTCCATTCCATCCCAGGCTCAGACTCAACAGTTCATGTGTCTGCTGGCAACCGCCGCAAGGTGATCTCTCCAAAATTCTTTGTCAACCCTCGTCTGTTTCACCTGTTATCCCTCGCTCTCTGTGTTTCCTTTTTGTGAGTGCGGTTCCTGACTGCTCGCTGTCACTCTTCCCTCCTCACTTCTGCAGTCCCACCTCCAGTTCCTCCTGTAATCACCGTGCTGCACAATTTTCACTCACTAATCCACTCTTTCACAACCTCCCTTCCCCAACCAACGCCCCCAATTCCTGTTACATGGCTGCTCTCTCAGGCGCTCTTCCGTTTCCACCACCCTCACAGCTATCAGCGCCGGCCCTCATCTACTGCCCCTGGCCCGCATGTGATAAGTCGATTTTTGAGTCGACTCAAAAATGCCTCCCTTTCCCAACCAACTCCCCCAATCCCTGTTGCATGGCTGTTCTCTCAGGCGCTCTTCCGCTTCCACCACCCTCACAGCTATGCGCGCCGGCCCTCCTCTACTGCCCCTGGCCCACATGACACCACCTCCCAGCCCACTGCAGCAACAGTGCCCTGTCCTGCTGCCCCTGCTGTCGGCCTTCCTGGTGCGTCTGCCTCTTACGCTGCCGCAGCACTCGCAGCAGCGCACCCGCAAGAAGCACAGTGGTCTGAAGCAACACCAGCATCAGCACCACCATCCCCAGCAGCACCCATGCCAGCAGGCTCACCAACACCAGCAGCGACGACCGCGGAAGGAACTGCAGCCGCAACAGGCCCCTCAGAACCGTCCCTCTGGTCCCTCCTGGGTGCCACGGACCGGCAGCGACTGACAGTCCTGCAGGTGGCGGTGTCGCGCGCTCTCTTCACCATGGCAAAGGACCGCTGCCTTGCCGGCCGAGCGCCGGGAGCAAGCAGGAAGCACGCGCAAGGAGGGCCGGGCAGTGTGCGCTGGAACATGGTGGCGTGCTTCTGCACCATTCTGGGGGGGCCGTCTGAGACGCTGGATGAGTGCCGGCTCACGGATGCAGCAGGAAAACCGGTGGTGGATATTCCGGACATGTATGTGTACCTGCGCAGCACGCACGTGAGGGGCGGGCGCGTGATCTCCTCGCAGCACATGAGGAGATTCGTGCAGACGATGGCGGCGGCGCTGCGGTCCGTGACGCTGATTTCAGACGCGGCGGCTGCGCGCCTCAACACGCTCATGCACTCGTTTGATGATACCATTGTGACCTCCGACGCTGTCGGCTGCTCTCAAGGTGCGCATGGCATGTGGGAGTGGTGCTGGGTGCATGTGTGCATGGATGTTTACTTGTGTGTGCGTGAGATGCGCTGCACGCTTATGCACTCTTTCAATGATGCCATCGTCACCTCCGATGCTGTCGGCTGCTCGCAAGGTGCGCATGGCATGTGGACCTGGTGGTTTGTGCGTGCGCATGTGCGCGTGTCCGTGGATGTATGGGAGTATGTGCAAGGTGCATGTATGTGCCGGTGTATGCCCGCGTGTTACGGTCACTTTGCCATCTCACATGGATCGTATTTGACTGCTGCGGTTCCTCCTCCTGTTTCTGACTCTCGTCAGGCGGAGCATGGCTGCAGTGGCGGGCGGGTGTGAAGCACAACACGACCATCCATGTGGGCGACAAGGTCACATGGGTGTGGGATGACGACCTCCCGCACTCACTCAAAGGTACTCCTCTCTCCCACCTGCGTTAGTGTCACTAGTTCTTGTGTGCATCCGATGTTACGCCTTATGCAGAAGAATCGATCTATCTTGCTCCCATTCTACCCTGTGAACCGTTTTTTACTTGTTTGCCTGCATCACTTCATCCCCAATTCTTCATATCTCCAATGCCACCACCATCAGTGGCGGCGATGGGTGAGGAAGAGGACCCGCTGTTTCTAGGCTTTGGAGGGCATCGCTTGGTCGTGTCGCGCAAGCTGGCATGCACTCCCATGAATGTGGGCCAGTGGGACATTTCTGAAGAACCACAGCCATGCGTGCTCAGTGAGTGGGGGGGGGGTGGGGGTGGGGATGTGCTCACTTAGCGATGAGGTATGCTGGGCCAGCTGGAGTTTTTTTAATAGCATGGCATCACATGATTGTATGAAGGCGTTCAACACATGGCTGTCCACATGCACACATGGCTGTCCACATGCACACATGGCAGCCCACATGCACACATGGCTGTCCACATGCACACATGGCTGTCCACATGCACACATGGCTGTCCACATGCACACATGGCTGTCCACATGCACACATGGCTGTCCACATGCACACATGGCAGCCCACATGCACACATGGCTGTCCTTCCACATGTGCCATCTCACCCTGCTGCTGCATCCTCACTCCCCATCTTTCCTCTCACTGTCCTTCCTCCACACCTTCCTAAACCTCCCCCAATTCGTCCAATCAGAGATGGATGACGAGCCCCCCAACTCCTTCTCGTACAGCAAGGTTTTTGACGAGCCAATCACGATCCACTACGAGGACGGCACTCTCTCTGTTGACGACTCCTCCTCCTCCTCAGCGTCCGCAACCTCTGCTGTGTCTCTTCTCACTGTGCTGCCTGCACCGACAGGAGCTGAGCTTGCTGGTGAGCTTCACATGCCGTAACGCATGCCATACACATGCCATACACATGCCATACCGCATGCTATACCACATGCTAGGGATGAGCACCGGGCGGGCCGAGGCCCGGCCCGGGTCGGGCTCACCCCGGGCTGCGGAAAAAAGCGGGCCGGGCCGGCCCGGCCCGACCCGGGCCATAGAAGGAAACTCTTGGCCCGAGCCCGCCCTTAAGGCGGGCGGGCCGTGCCCGGCCCGACCCCGGGCTCTGCCGGCCCGGCCCGGATGCTGTCATAATCGCCCACAGGATGTATTTTTGGGCTGTATCTGCTGTGTTTTTGTGCTCCGATGCGGCCCGGCCCGGCCCGGCCCGTACATGGGCGGGCCAAAATCGGGCGGCTGCGGCCCGGCGGGCCGGGCCAGCCCGGCCCGCCCCGGGCCCACGTCGAAATTATGATGCCCGGCCCGGGGCATTTCCGGGCGGGCCCGACCCGGGCGAGCCCTGGCCCGCCCTCATGCTCATCCCTACCACATGCCATACCGCATGCCATACCACATGCCATACCACATGCCATACCACATGCCGTACCGCATGCCATACCGCATGCCATAGCACATGCCGTACCGCATGCCCTACCACATGCCATAGCACATGCCATACCACATGCCATACCACATGTTATGCCACATGCCATACCACATGCCATACCACATGCCATACCACATGCCATACCACATGCCATACCACATGCCATACCACATGCCATACCACAAACCTCAACCCATGCTAGCACATGCCATACTGCCCATACCGCACGCATGGCTTACCATGTGCCAATGTTGCATGCAATACCACGAGACATACCACATGCCATACCGCATGGCATGCTGCATGCCATGTCGCGTGCTATGCTGCATGCCATGTCGCGTGCTATGCTGCATGCCATGTCGCGTGCTATGCTGCATGCCATGTCGCGTGCTATGCTGCATGCCATGTCGCGTGCTATGCTGCATGCCATGTCGCGTGCTATGCTGCATGCCATGTCGCGTGCTATGCTGCATGCCATGTCGCGTGCTATGCTGCATGCCATGTCGCGTGCTATGCTGCATGCCATGTCGCGTGCTATGCTGCATGCCATGTCGCGTGCTATGCTGCATGCCATGTCGCGTGCTATGCTGCATGCCATGTCGCGTGCTATGCTGCATGCCATGTCGCGTGCTATGCTGCATGCCATGTCGCGTGCTATGCTGCATGCCATGTCGCGTGCTATGCTGCATGCCATGTCGCGTGCTATGCTGCATGCCATGTCGCGTGCTATGCTGCATGCCATGTCGCGTGCTATGCTGCATGCCATGTCGCGTGCTATGCTGCATGCCATGTCGCGTGCTATGCTGCATGCCATGTCGCGTGCTATGCTGCATGCCATGTCGCGTGCTATGCTGCATGCCATGTCGCGTGCTATGCTGCATGCCATGTCGCGTGCTATGCTGCATGCCATGTCGCGTGCTATGCTGCATGCCATGTCGCGTGCTATGCTGCATGCCATGTCGCGTGCTATGCTGCATGCCATGTCGCGTGCTATGCTGCATGCCATGTCGCGTGCTATGCTGCATGCCATGTCGCGTGCTATGCTGCATGCCATGTCGCGTGCTATGCTGCATGCCTCTGTTCATGCCATACTTCATGCCACTTGGCATTTCTGACTTCCTTCAACTGCCCTCTCCCCTTTCTTCATGTCTTCCTTCATTTCCCTTCACCATCCATTAATCTTCACCATCCATTAATCTTCACTATCCATCCTGTGCATGTTATGCATGCATGGCAGACCTTGGGAACGCCACTGACAGCAGCACTCTCTCGGGCACCGCACGTGTCACTACCACCAACACCACCACGCCCTCCACCTCCTCCTCCGCCTCCTCCTCCTCCTCTTTGCCATCCGCCGCCACCGCCGCAGCGTACGAGTGCTCGCCGGGGTGCCGGCTACATCGCCTGGCGAACGGGGTGTGCGATGCGGCGTGCAACACGCCCGTGTGCGCCTTTGACGGTGGCGACTGCGCGTGTGTGGACCCGCTCTTTGGCCCCGGCATCTGCGCCTGCCCGCCCGGCCACACCCGCCGCGACGACGGCTGTTAGTCGTGCCTCTCCCCTCTCCTCTCAACCCGCCTCTCTGGCTCCCTTCCTATTCTCACTTCACTCGTACTGATACCCAGTTTGCGCTTTCTGCCAGTCAACTTCTTATCTTACCATCCCTGCTCTTCCTTCCTCACACACCACTCCCCCCTCCTCCGTCCCCGCCCTCCCCCTGTGGCCAGCATGCTGTCTATCCACGGCGGTGGGCACGAATCTCAACTTCCCCTTCTCACTGCAGCGCTACGGCCCCAACTACACCGAGAGCAACTTTGCCTTTGCGGCTGAGAGGGGCGTTGCTGTCAACCGCTTCGTGTCACGTCGCAACCGGTATTCCTCCGTGCCTCCCTGCCCCGCCATGCCTGCCCTGCCATGCCGCCACACTTGCACCCAACACCATCTTGCACTGCCGAGAGAGATACCACTGTCAATCGTGTCGTCGTGCATCAGCACCGGAGGGAAGGCAGGCTGTGCCCACACTCGCGGTGTCACTTTGTTCTGCTAGCTTCTGTTTTCCCTTTATAGCCTCTGCGCCTCCACTCACCAGCACAATCAGCTTCCAACCCTCGTCTCCCATATCCCTCTGCCGATTGTTAGAAATATCCTTCTCTTGTAACATGCATTCATGCTATAAAGATCGGGTAGAGATAAACACCCAACCTTAGGTTGGGTGTATAGCTAGGGGTTAACCCTAAAATTGGGGTTGAGGCCCAACCTTTGGCCAAAATTATTGGACCCCAAAAGTTGGGTTGGGAACATTATTGGTTCCCCTCCAATAAAGTTGACCCAACTCAAGAGTGGTCAACATTATTGGAGGCCCTCCAATAATTCCCAACCCAACTTATTGGTGGACCTCCAATAATGTTGGTTCCCTCTCCTCCACTCTTCCCAACTATGTAAACCCAAGGCTCTTCTAGTCCAATCATCAATTTTTCTTCAAACCTTGTCTTTCACACCAATCGCCTTCACCCTTCCCTCCCTTTTTATGGCAGTTTGTTGATTGGCATGGTGCTGCAGCAGGATCGGTGGGGTGCGAAGCAGTGCAACGGATCGGGGTGAGTGGCTCTGGTAAATGGACCGTGAACTGCTGGGCTCTCATGATGCTCGCCTCATCCTCTCGCTGTAATTGCGACCACTGGTTGCTCTTCATATCCTCCTTTTCCACCTCTTCCCCACCAGCTGTTCCTCCTCTTTGCCACCAGCTGCCTCACCTCTTCCCCCACCCCACCAACTGTTCCTCCCCCCCCCCCTCCCCCTTCCCCTCCCCAGACTGCTGCACCTGGCGGGGTGGTGCAGCAACGGCACGTCCAGGGAGCCCTTTGGAGTGAACCCGCACTTCCTGCCCACGTCGGCCATCTACGACAGCGCTGCCAGCGCCAACATGAGCCAGCTCGACAACAGTACCTTCGGCGTCAAGCTGCGCTTCAACCCGCAGGGCCTCCCCTACGGCTTCATCTACCCCGTGGTCAGACATTTCAAGCATTTGACCTCTGCATGATTTGCTTTTGCAAACGTTTGCCATACTCTGTGCAACTGGTGTAAGGACTGGCTGAATGGTCCTTCATCTCATGAATGTTGAGCTGGAATGGCCCGCAACATGGACCGGATCGGACCAAGTTGAATTCAATCTCCAATGGTGGGTGCATTTTGTGCGTAACACCCATTCATCGAGGCTACTCCTGCACGAAGATATAGATGTACGAACAAAAGCGTGAAATATGAGAGGAATAATTTTGTTTGTGACTGTGATTGCTTTGCAGGACTCCCTCACAACCCTCCCCCTGGTGTTTGATGTCAATCTTGACTACGAGGCAGCCATGCGCCGTCTACACTACCTGGTGGATGGGAGCTATATTGACAATGGCACTCGCAGCGTGGACGTTAGCTTCATCACCTTCAACGGTACTTGCTTTGCTTCTCACCACCAAAGGTGAAATTCAGCTGTACCTGAAATTTCACTCTGCCTTGTCCCAGATGCACGTCTCTTTCTTTCCGACTTTTAGCGGCATTCGCTGCTTAGTCCTGTTCGCGTCTCCCATGTCTTGTGCGCCCACAAACTTCACCCCACGTCGGCAGGCGAAACACTCACGTTCGTGCTGACCACAGTAACCTGCACGTTGAACGCTGGAGGCAGCATGGCGGTGACCATAAAGTCACAGCCGGCAGCCATGGCCATGTACGATGCATCGGCAGACAACATGGCACGGCTGGTGCTGGAGGTGGTGTATCTCGTGGGGCTGCTGTGGAACGTGTGTGGCGAGCTGCAGGAGATGGCCGATCGCGCTGCCGTTGATGGCTCTGTGCTGGGCTACTTTGGGCTCGTGTGGAACTGGGTTGACATGCTCTCCCTCGCACTGCAACTGACTGCGGTTGTTATCTGGTAAGCAACCAGCCAAGCTGCATGAGGGCGGGGTGGACCTTGCCGTGCTATTCATCCGGAGTTGATCATCTCATCTGAAGCCATGCTTACGGTTGCTTCCTCACTGCTCATCCATCCCACCCACACGCCCTACTTCTCTCACTCTCCTCATGCGCGCGCGCGCGTGTGTGGGTGTGTGGGTGAGGGCAGGGTGGTGCTGTGGCGGTACGTGGAATCATTCGACATGCAGCCACGATGCAACATCTACTATACGCTACTGGAGATGCCGCGCTACTCTCAAGTCGACTCACACGCCCCTTCCTCCTCCCTACCACCCCCGTTGTGGCATGTGTGTGTGCAGGGTGGTGCTGTGGAGGTACGTGGACGCATTCGACATGCAGCCACGATGCAACATCTACTATACGCTACTGGAGATGCCGCGCTACTCTCAAGTCGACTCACACGCCCCTTCCTCCTCCCTACCACCCCCGTTGTGGCATGTGTGTGTGCAGGGTGGTGCTGTGGAGGTACGTGGAATCATTTGACATGCAGCCGCGCTACGACATATACTACACGCTGCTCGAGATGCCGGGCTACTCTCGAGTCGACTAAGATGCCCCTTCCTCCTCCCTATCACCCCCGTCGTGGCATTTGTGTGTGCAGGGTGGTGCTGTGGAGGTATGTGGACGCATTCGACATGCAGCCGCGCTACGACATCTACTACACGCTGCTGGAGATGCCGCGCTACTGGGCCGTGCCCAACCCGCCCACGGGTTTCATCAGCGCCACGCAGGCCTTTGCTGAGCTGCGCAACATCATCAACCTCCGCACCGTCTACTTCGCCCTCCAGGGCATCAAGTGAGCCGCCTTGCCTTTCAGGGCATCAAGTGAGCCGCCTTGCCTTTGAAGGCATCAAGTGAGCCGCCTTTCCCTCACCATACATGTGTGTGTGTGTGTGTGTGTGTGTGTGTGTGTGTGTGTGTGTGTGTGTGTGTGTGTGTGTGTGTGTGTGTGCGCACGCGCGCGTGTGCGTGCGTGCGTGCGTGCGTGCGCGCGTGCGCGCGTGTGTGTGTGTGTGTACGCGCGTGCGCGCGCACGTGTGTGTGTATGTGTGCGTGTGTCAATTCTCGTTTGCTCATAGCTAGTTGGCATCACAGGTTGACGATCCTCTTCAAATCACCGCACTTTACTCCCTAGATTTTTCTCCCTTACCCACCTCCTCCTTTCTGCCCGCTAAATGCCCTTGGCTGCCCCCTCCCTATGCGTCTCCAGTGTATTCTTCATGATGATTCGCCTGCTCAAGGTCATGGACTTCCAGCCTCTGACCGCACTCTGATTTCTGCCCCCCTCATTCTCTTCCTTGCTCCCTGTTTTCCCCCACTCCAGTGTGTTCTTCATGATGGTTCGTCTGCTCAAGGTCATGGACTTCCAGCCCTACCTGGGGGTCATCACGCGCTCCCTCAGCCTCGCCACGCCCTCGCTGCTGCACTTCTTCCTGCTCTCCTTTGCGGTCTTCTTCTGCTTCAGCATGTACGGCTACCTCGTCTTTGGAGGCGCTCTCGAAATGGTATGTGCCTAGCTTGTATTTTACCTTACATATAGACTGGATGTGTCACTCCTTGTGCTTGAGCAAGGCTCTATGTTAAAGTTTACCATGGCTCTCTTCCCAATTGCCAGCCTTGCCTTTGCTTTCTTTCTTTCTTCCTTGTTGTCTTCCTTTTGTTTTTCTAATCTCTGACACGTCTTATAACCCAGCTATCCCCCCCTCTCCCACCCCCCCACCCCCACCCGATGCAGTTCTCTACAGTGCTAGAGTCCATGTTCTCATGCTTCCTCCTCCTCCTCAACGACAACTCCTCCGCCTACTTCTTCCAGCGCCTCCACTCCTGGGACCTCATAGCCGCGATGCTCTTCTTCTTCATGTTCTTCATGGTCTTCATCCTCCTCAACTTCCTCATCGCGATCATCGTTGACGCCTTCATGAGCGTCAAGGACAGCAACATCGTCGCCACTTCTATAACCTCTGACCTAGGACACATCATCAAGTACAAGTGGAACTGCTGGCGTGGCCGTTACTTGCGGTATCCCGTCATTCTCGACCGCCTTGTGGAGTTGGGAGCTAAGGACAGCCGAGTGGAAGAGGTGAGATATGGGCACCCAAGGTCATTCTCATTGCCAACGTTAGAGGTCAAAGAATCCGTTAATTGATTGCAATTTCCAAACGTCCCATGTAGGCATGGGAAAGAAATTCCGAACCCGTTTTCAGTTTTGCTCGAACATGTTGGAGTCTAACCGAACAGAGTTTGACTCCACTCGTATTAGTAACTCGAATGCATTAAGTTACGGGTTTGTGCGTATGCGTGCGTGCTGTGCATGAATGCGTTCGTGCGTGCGTGCATTTTCTTTTCTTTCTCTTTCCTGCGAGTTCCTTTTTTTTAGTCAGCACAGCACGGGCATTGCTGCTGGCTTCTTCCAGAAATCTAATGCTTCTACCAAGAACCTCTCTCTAATTCGTGTGTGCCTGTGTTGCTGCAGTCAAGCCGTCGGATGCGCCGTCTGCAGTCGATAAAGCGGCGAACGCGAGCCATCTTCACCGGCAACTGTGGCGGTGACTGCGGGCCATCGCACTCGCACTTTGGTCGCAGGAACAACCAACCCGCCTTCCCCGGTGACAGTGACTTTCGGGAGCGGCGGCAGCAGCACGTGCTGACTGTGCGGGAGAAGCGCATCGACGCCATCTCGCTCGCCATGATCCTGCAGCGCCGCCACGACAGGGAGGTGCGTCCATTTTGGTGTGATTATTGGAGTGAGTACTTAGGCATGCCACGTGTTGTGCCATGGCTTATCTTGTCCCATATGCTGTGCCATGTTATGTGGTTGTTCCAGGGTATGTGTTGTGCCGTGCCTTGTGGCAAGCCTGGGGTTGTGAGATGCATGCCTAATGATTCTAATGTGCTGGATTCTATGCATGAATTTTCACATCAGTCTCTCCCTGCACGTCCTTCTCTCCACTGCTCTACCCATGTTTCACAATCTGTTCTCAGCAAGGTGGGCCCCACAAGGCTGAGTCGCTGCCCAACCTTTGGCCCAGGACAGGTTCAAGTGAGGGTGGGGAGGAGGAGGCGCTAGAGCAGCTGTCGCAGGCGGTGGTGCTGCAGTGCGGTGAGGTGGTGCAGCAGGCTGCCCTGCCCGTCAAGAAGCCCGTGCAGAAAATCAGCCTGGCTCATGTCCAGGTGCGTGTGTGGGGGGAGGGAGGGTAAGAACGAGGCCGTGCTGCAGTGCGGCGAGGTGGTGAAGCAGTGCGGTGAGGTGGTGAAGCAGTGCGGTGAGGTGGTGAAGCAGTGCGGTGAGGTGGTGCTGCAGTGCAGTGAGGTGGTGCTGCAGTGCGGTGAGGTGGTGAAGCAGTGCGGTGAGGTGGTGCTGCAGTGCGGTGAGGTGGTGCTGCAGTGCGGTGAGGTGGTGCTGCAGTGCGGTGAGGTGGTGCTGCAGTGCGGTGAGGTGGTGCTGCAGTGCGGTGAGGTGGTGCTGCAGTGCGGTGAGGTGGTGCTGCAGTGCAGTGAGGTGGTGAAGCAGTGCGGTGAGGTGGTGCTGCAGTGCGGTGAGGTGGTGCTGCAGTGCGGTGAGGTGGTGCTGCAGTGCGGTGAGGTGGTGCTGCAGGCCGCCCTGCCCGTCACGAAGCCCGTGCAGAAGCTCAGTCTCGCTCTCATCAAGGTGGGAAAGAAAGGCCGTGCACGGTATGTTACGAGCACAGTCAACTCAAAATTGTGTGTGCGGATACAACAGTGGGCGTTGCTGTCATATGATCACACTGGCTGAGAATTCACAAGAGCCTGCAAGCAGCCATTCAGGCATGAGATCCCTGCCATGCGTTCACAGCGTCTTTTCATCCTCCTCCACCCTTCCCCACGCCATCCCCACCTCCTCCTTGCCCTTGTGTGTGTGTGCGTGTGTGAGCAGGGGAGTTGGCGTGCAGCCGGGCAGAGGTGAGGGAGCTGAGGGGCATGATGGCAGACATGCAAGCACTCATGCTCGACCTCCTCGCCCGCACGCCCCCCACGGGACACACTGCCCACGCAATGAGTGCTCCCGCGGGGCTGCCAGTGCCGTCAGCCATGCCGCGAGCCTACACGGAGCCCCCGCGTCTCCCCATCCCTCTCGCAGACTCCTCGCGTCTCCCCGTCCCTCTCACGGACTCCTCAGAGCCTCTGGAGCAAGCGGGAAGGAGGAGGGACCTGCCACAAAGGTTCTGCGATAGCAGGACAGGTGGGGGTGGAGTGGAAACAGAGGGGGGCGTACGAGAGGGCTCGAGCATTGCCGGAGGGGGCGCAAGCAGAAGCTTGTTGGCGGCAAGGCAAGGCTTCGAGAGGCGGGTGTCTTTCAAAGACGACACAGCGGCGAATAGGACGAGCCCTGTGAGGACAGGGGGGGAATGGCAGCAGCAGCAGCCCCTGGTGTGAAGACTTCGTCAGCAGCAGTTCCTGGGCCTGCCACTGCCAGTAGCCAATACTAGCAGTCTTGCATTAGAGTGGTGGTGCAGTAAGCATTGATTCGCAGTGCAAAGTGGTTTAAGCTTTAACTTCAGTCAAAAGGCATCATACCGCACCGCACCCACTGAGTAACCAGGAGTAAACTGAAACAATTCAAGCCTGATACCATCAGAAATATGAGAAAAAAATGTGGCAGCGCTCGTCATGTCACATGGTACTATAAGGCCCAGGTCTTATAATTCATAAAATCCACACTCTAGCCCTCCTTATACATTCTCGCCTGTATCACTACCTACCCTGCACACACGCACACCTACCACCTAACCCTCCCATACCACCCCCCCACACACGTACACCCCTTCCAACAGCATCAGCAAGACACATACTTAGCAACCAACTCCGCAAACAGCACAAGTTGCAAGCGGCATTGGTGGCAGTGGCGACCACGGCAGCAGCAGCACGAGCATCTGCAGTTGCATCAGCAGCAGCAGCGGCAGCATCAGCAGCATCAGCAGCAGCAGCAGCAGCATCAGCAGCATCAGCAGCAGCAGCAGCAGCATCAGCAGCAGCAGCAGCAGGAATGGCACCGACAAAAAGCAGTAGCGAATTTAACAGAAGCCAGCAATGGCAGCAGCAGTAAGCTCTGCCAGCAGCAACAACAGACGCACCGACAGCAGCAGGCAGACCAGCAGAACCAGCAGAATAGCCTTATAGAGTGCCATTTTGAGCATCATCTCATCCAATCCCATCAGCCAAGGTGGGAGAACCCCACTGCACCACGCTGCTTCTGCTACATCACCCACTTATTCCGCTGTACCCATTTGCCACAGCCTTGAGAGCGTCATCACTTCTTTTTTGAGTCGACTCAAAAATGGGAGAACCCCACTGCACCACGCTGCTTCTGCTACCCACTTATTCTGCTGTACCCATTTGCCACAGCCTTGAGCGCGTCATCGCTTCATCTCCCCCCCACTTCCCTCTCCCCCCCTCCCCCTTCCCCCCCCCCCTCCCCCCCCCCCCCCCCACCCCCCCTGCTGTGCGCGTTCGCCTCAGACCCCTCTTCCCCCCCCTCCCCGTGTCCTTCCCCGTGTCCTTCCCCGTGTCCTTCACCTCCTTCAGCGTCAGGCCTTCACCACCCCGCCGCTGACCTTAGCGTTTGCTGCTGCCGCCAGGGACGCTATATCTCCCACCTTGCCCCCCATGGCCTTCCCCGTGCCCTTCCCCGTGCCCTTCCCCGTGCCCTTCTCCGTGCCCTTCCCCGTGCCCTTCCCCGTGCCCTTCTCCGTGCCCTTCCCCGTGCCCTTCCCCGTGCCCTTCCCCGTGCCCTTCCCCGTGCCCTTCCCAGTGCCCCTCCATGTGCCCTTCACCTCCTTCCACGTCAGGCCTTCGCCTTTGCGTTCGCCGCCGCGGCCTGCGACGCGATGTCTCCCACCTTGCCCCCCCGCCGCTTCCCTATGCGCGTCCCCGTGCCCTTCCCCATGTTCTTCCACGTCAGGCCTTGGCCTTTGCGTTTGCCGCCGCCGCCTGCGACGCAATGTCGCCCACCTTGCCTCCCAGGCCCTTCCCCGTGCTCTTCCCAGCCGCCGCCGCGTCCTTCTGCTCCTTCCACGTCAGCAGCACCCGCACCGCCTCATCCAGCCCGTCCGTCACCTCCCCCACTTCCTCCCCCACCTCCTCATCCTCCTCCGCGCCACCCTGCTGCTCCGCGTCCGTGTCAGACCTCATCAGCACCCGCACCGCTGCCTCCTCATTCACCTCCCCGCCCACCTCCTCCTCATTCTCCTCCTCCTGCGCTTCACCCTGCTGCTCCGCGTCCGCATCAGAGCTCATCAGCACCCTCACCGCCTCATCCAGCCCGCCCACCACCTCCTCCTCATTCACCTCCTCACCCTCTTGCGCGCCACCCTGCTGCTCCAAGTCAGCGTCTGAGCTCATCAGCACGCGCACCGCCTCATCCAGTCCGTCCGTCACCTCCCTCACGCCTACCTCCTCTTCCGCCGCGCCAGCCTGCTGGTCCACGTCAGCGTCCGCGCCGGTTGCGGCGGCGGAACCGCTGCGCGACTCCAGCAACTTGCGACCCCACCTCGCCGCCGCGTCCACGGCTGCGCTTCCCCCAGAAGCAGCGACGCCACCCCGCTTTGGCGCGGAGGCGGCGTAGAGCGCGGGGAGCGAGGCGAGGACCAACGCGAGGATGAACACGGAGCGAAGAGTAGCCATGCTAGGATTTAGAGAGCGTCGGGGCGTCAGAGCGCCGGGTTGAGTCGCTTCAAAAGACGACTTAGAGAGCGTCGGAGGGTCGGAGGGTCGGAGCGTCGGAGGGCCGGATTCTAGTGAGTAGCACTGCGAGCGATGAGGATTCGATTGAGGTGGTTTTTTAAAATTCAGAGAAGCAACTCAGTGTGGTGAATGGTGGAACGGAGTCAGTTTAAGTAGTAACGGAAGACGAGGAAGCGAGGCTGGTGGAGGGAGCTGCGAGTCGCCGTGGTACTCCTTCCAGCAGCTCGCAGTTATTGCTGGCATGGCGCCGCTGCACGACGCGCAACGCGCTACCAGTGTGCACGCTACTACCAGTGGGGCTATCGGTGTGCGCCTACTAGCAGTGGGGCTACCGCCGCGTGCTGCGCTCGACTCCGACTCAGAGTTTGATGGCAACTCATTGCCACAATAATGGCAATGAGCGATTATGGCAGCTCATTTCAAGCAAGGGGCTCGCCAGATAGCCAGCGAGGTGACTGCCAAGAGCAGGAGGTGAGGTTATTGGTGGGGGGAGAGGAGTCCGCCGCCGACTGTACCGTAGCGAAAGGAAGCTAATCTCATTCCCGCAGCTCACAGTTATTGATCGCATCGTCATGGCGCCGCACAATGCGCTAGGAGCGACTGCCGCGTGAGGCGTTGGGACGCGGCCCGCTAGTCAACGCGGACGCGAAACGCGCTGGTGCGCACCTTGGGTCGATAGGTGAATGCAAGAGAGCTCCGAGATCAACGGCGGCAATAATGGCTTTGCGTGGGTTGGGTAGTTGTTTCTTGAAGCCGAAGATGCAGGAGTGTTGGGGTGGGGAGCGTGTTCGGCAGAAAGAGGGCTTGTTTACGGGCCACCTCAGCCACTTCGAAAATGCGTCGACGAAAAGCTCGACGAGAAGAGAAAATCAGTTACTCTGTAAGAATGGCTAGGCGATCGAAGCTTCCACTGGTCGGACACATGCGAGAAAAAACAAAGCCATCCAAACGAAGATCCAGGTAACTTTTCTTTTCTCGTCGACCGATTCGCTGATACGTTGTTGAGCTCGTGATCTTCGTGGGAAGCCAGCCCTACCCGAACACGCTCCCAGGAACTTCTCCGTCCTCCCCTTCACAAACAAGTATTTGCGGAGCTGAGAGCCATTATTGCCGCGCTGCCGTTGATCTCGGAGCCCTCCACTCCTGCACTTAGTTTTCAAACGCAGGTGCACAGCAGCGTGCGTCGTCGTTATCAACATGCTGTTTCTCAACGCCTAACGCAGCAATCGCTCGTTGCGCATTGTGCGGCGGCATGGTGCGAGCAATAATCGCGAGTTGCTGGAATGAGATTAGGTTACTGCCGCTACGGTGCAGAGGGCGCACTCCTCTCCCCCCACCCAACCGCCACCCCTTTCTCTCGAAAATCGCATCGTTGGCGATCGGGCGAAAAACTTATTTGTAACGAATTTCCGGCCATTATTGCGGCCGCGCTGCCGGTCACTCCGAGCGCTCGACTCCGAGTCGGGCCCACCGTAGCACGCGCTAGCGTGGACACCAGTATCCCTTTCCGCAAGTTGCGCATCGTGCGGCGGCAATAACGGCGAGCTGCTGGGAGGAGAACATGGCGAACCACCACAATTGTGGTGCGGCTGTTAACAGCTCCTTCCACCACTGCAGCGCCCTCCACCTCCTCGCCTGCTGGGAATCCCTTCGCCATCCCTCGCCTCCTCCTCGTCTTTCGCCGCAATACTTAAATCGCCGCAATTTCGCCATTCACCATCACCAACTGAGTTGCTTCTCTCGGTCCTTCACCCGAATCTGATCCTCACCATCGCTCGCAGTGCCACTCTTTATAATTCCGACGCTCCGACGCTCTCTAAGTCGTTCATTAATATGGCTACTCTTCGCTCCGTGTTCATCCTCGCGTTGATCCTCGCCTCCCTTCCCGCACTCTATGCCGCGTCCGCGCCACCGCGGGGCGACGTTGCTGCTGGGGGAAGCGCAGCAGGCGTGGACGCGGCGAGGTGGGGCCGCAAGCTGCTGGAAGCGAGCAGCGGCGCGGCCGCAAGCGGTGCTGACGCGGACCTGAACCAGCTGGACGCGGACGTGGGTGGCGAGGAGGGGGAGCAGGTGGGGGAGGTGACTGACGTCGGGCTGGACGAGGCAGTGCGTGTGCTACTTAGCTCTGACGCTGACGTTGAGCAGCAGGGTGGCGCGGAGGAGAATGAGGAGGAGGTGGGGGAGGGGGAGGTTACGGATGGGCTGGACGAGGCGGTGCGGGTGCTGATGAGCCTCAAGAAGTTCAAGAAGAAGGTGAAGAAGGCGGCGAGCAAGGCGGGAGGGCTGGCAAAGGACGCGGCGAGCAAGGCGGGAGGGCTGGCAAAGGAGGTGGTGGAGAAGGGCGGCGCGGACGCGGTCAAGGCAGCGGTCAACGCGTACAGCAGCGGCCAGGGGGCCAAGGGCGCGCTCATAGCGGGCAGTGGCTCGCTCGCTCGCACCGCGAAAACGATGGTGTAACGGGCGAGGGGATTGGATGGGAGGTGCGTGGTGCAAGGGGATGAAGGGCGCGCTCATGGCGGGCGGTGGCTCGCTCGCTCGCACTGCGAAAACGATGGTGTAGCGGGCGAGGGGATGGGATGGGAGGTGCGTGAGGCAAGGTGGCGATTTTTGAGTCGACTCAAAAATCGGTCAACGCGTACAGCAGCGGCCAGGGGCCCAAGGGCGCGCTCGTGGCGGGCGGTGGCTCGCTCTCTCGCACCGCGAAAACGATGGTGTAGCGGGCGAGAGGATGGGTTGGGAGGTGCGTGAGGCAAGGTGGCGTGGTAATGTGGAGCAGCTGGTGCAGCAGTCCAGCTGCTGTGGTGCCTGCTACTGCTGGTAGCAGCACGGTGCAGTGGAGTTGTCCCGGCTGAGCTGATGTGGCACTGTAGTAAGGCTGTCTAACGCTGCTGATGCTGCTGCTGCTGCTGCTGTTGGCGGTTGCTTGGTGATGCTGCGTGTTGTGGGAGGGTGGGGAGGGAAGGAGGGGTCGGGTAGTGCGGGTGGGAGGGTTATGTGGGCATGTGTGAATGGGGGAGGGCTGGTAGTGGATTTTGGTGTAGTGTGTGTCTTTTGCTTTGCTGTGATTTCAAATGCATGTGCTATATAGCTGAAGCCAAGTGTTGATTGAGAAAGGCGTTGTGTCCTGAATCCGTCACGCAGCAAGCACTAACCAAACACAGTAGGCATTTGCACTACACAAGCATTTGGATTGCCTCAACAAATGCCACAGCACAAGCAAGTAAAATAATGAACAAGTCTATGCAAGGACCAGTTTGTAGGTAACAGAAGTGAACAAGCACCGTCCTTGTAGTATATCCTCGAGCGATAGTTTTGTCTGTACGATCACACAAGCGGCGTGGTACAAGTCGCTACCGTACCAAGAAATGTCGATCCGCTACCGTACCAAACCCACGCTGTTATCCCCTGAAACCGACAGAACCAGCTCTTACTCTTTCAGAAAATGATCTCAGCGGCGATCAGCCTGATGCTACAATTCTACTTCTACCGCGCCCTCACTGTAAAATTTCATGATATCACCTTGGACTGGGGAGGCAGATTCTGAGTTCCTGAAGCCTGTCACAAGCACGGAGCCTGTCACAAGCACGGAGCCTGTCTCAAGCACGGATGGCTCCTCCAAAAGCCAACGCCGCCGCCGATCGCGGCGGCGGAACCCGCCGTGCTCCGTTTAACCGCCCTCTCTCCGAAGATTCGTTTGAGTTCGCAACAACGTCAGTCGCGCAGAATCCTTTTGAAGCGCCTCGGGAGTTCCGCCGAACTCCGCCGCCTGAACACGCCACTCCCGCGTGCGAAGATTCGCTCGACTTCGCAACAGCGTCGGTCGCGCAGCAGCTTCAGGAGGTGGAGCTGTTCGTGTCGCGCGTTAAATCGCAGCCGAATCCGCCGGTGGCCCTCCGAGACCTCGCGTTCCACATGGAGCAGATAGCTCACGTGAGATAGTTCTTGCCCCGTTGCATCGCTTCCAGGATTCTGGTCCTGTTCAGGGTTCCCAACTTTGGTTACGCGAGCGTGTTTCCTGTAGCTGCAATAGACGCATTTTCGTATTGGCTGTTACTCCTCGGATCAAATCGATTTCTCGCCTTTCGTATCCTGGTGAAACTATCCATGTGATACTGTCTCATCACATTTCGTCGCTATGTTTTTGGTGTTGTATGGCATTGCATGGCATGGTGTCGAATGGCATTAAATGACTCGGCATCGCATGATATGCCATGGCATTGCGTGTCATGGCATTGTATGGCATTGTATGGCATTATATGGCATGGTGTCGAATGCCATGAATGACATGGCATCGCATGACATTGGATGGCGTTGCGTGTCACGCTGACTTCTTACTAGTCTTTAAAAGAGGACGTCGGATTGTTCTCCAATCGCGGTTTGGAGCCTTTGGACCTCTATAAGCGATCGACCTTCAAACGCGGACAAGGGTGAGTGAGGCCGTAGACAAACAAACACATTTTCCCTCACTAGAATCACATTCGCTTCAGTAGAACACCTTCTGCCAAGCCTGTGTAAGTGACAGCAGTCACTCAGCCCACAAATCATATCCCCTTTGAAAGTATTTCTGTTTCTAAGCGCTTCATCCTCAAACGACATGCTGGGTCCCTCTATAATGGGTTGGTGACATGACATGCCACCCAGTGGGTCCGTCTATACCAGGCCTTTGAGGCTATGGCATCCAATGCGATTATGCCCTTTCTAAGGTAATCGCCTCCCTCTTTGTCCTTCCACCCCTCCCTCCCGCCCCCCTCACCCTTCCACCTCTCTCTCCCTCCCTTTCCTCCCAATCCCAGGGCCATCAGCTCCCTTCCTTCCTCCCTTTCCTTCAGGACCATGCCCTCCACATCATCGCTACCTGCGTTTGACGCGCTTCAAAAGTCACCCCCCCTTCGTTCCCTCCCAACCCCCCTTCATTCCCTCCCACCCCCAGCGCCATCAGCTCCCTTCCTCCCTTTCCTTCAGGACCATGCCCTCCACGTCATCGCTACCTGCGTTTGACGCGCTTCAAAAGTCACCCTTCTTTGTTCCCTCCCCCCCCCCCTTCATTCCCTCCCACCCCCAGCGCCATCAGCTCCCTTCCTCCCTTTCCTTCAGGACCATGCCCTCCACATCATCGCTACCTGCGTTTGACGCGCTTCAAAAGTCACCCCCCCTTCGTTCCCTCCCACCCCCCCTTCATTCCCTCCCACCCCCAGGGCCATCAGCTCCCTGCATGCCCTCCACACCATCGCTGCCAGCTTCTAAGGCGCCTCGCAAGTCTTCCATTCCTCCCTTCCCCCCTTCCTCCCCAACCCCAGGGCCATCAGCTCCCTGCATGCCCTCCACACCATCGCTGCCAGCTTGCTTCCCACCGCCGCCTCTCTGCCCCCTTCCACTATCGGAGCAGCAGCAGGAGCAGAGGGAAACGCCCCAGCAGCCAGAGCAGAGGCAGGCGGTGCAGCAGCAAGCGGGGAAATGGCAGCAGGGGAGGCACGGGCGGTGGTGAACGCACACACTGTGGATGTGCTGCTGTCATGCCTGCACAGCACTGCGAGCCAGAACACGGTGAGTGGGTGAATGGATGGAGTGGATAGCGAGTGGAGTGGAGAGCGGGGGCAAGGGGTGTAGCATCAGGAGAAGCAAGAGTGCAAATGGCACAGGCAGCGGTGAACACACAGACAGGGGATGTGCTGTGGTGCTGTCATGCCTGCACAGCACTGCAAGCCAGAACGCGGTGAGTGAGTGAGTGAGTGAGTGAGTGAGCAAGTGCGTGGGTGACTGGTTGAGTGATGGGCAGTGCCACTACACTACTAGATGGGGGGCAGTATCACAGCATCAGATGGACGGACAGGATCCCGCCGCCCGGTGAGGAATACTAATTGGCAATGAACAGTGCCAATCTGGATGGCGAATGGAGTGACAGCTGGCTGGCGAGCAATGTTCGTTCCGATGATGCGGGGCGGTGGCATGACAATGCGGTGCGGTGGCATGACAATGCGGTGCGGTGGCATGACAAGGCGGTGCGGTGGCATGACAAGGCGGTGTGGTTCGGTGGCATGTGAAGGCAGCATGATAAGGCGGACTTCACAGTGCTGCGCATGCTGCTCACATTGACTGCTGGGCTTTCGGTGTTGAACGCCAACCATCTCAACTCAACTCCATACCCTTCCTTCCTCACTGCCCTCTTCCCTGCCCTCCTCGCAGCACGATCACTTCACAATGCTGCGGTTGCTGCTCCCCTCGTGCACACACGGCTTTGCATCAAGGGGCAACCAATGCCTTCCAGCTGTCTTCATCAAGCCCTTTCTTCCCCACGCCTTCCCCCTCCCCTCCTCCCCCTGGGCACATCGCAGCATGCGCACTTCACAGTGTTGCGTCTGCTCCTTTCCTCGCTAAAAGTGCTGCTCGCCTGCATGGATGACTGGGTGCTCAAGGGGATGCGCCTTCCAGCACTGAAAGAGGAGGTGAGCCGTCCGTGCTGAGCTAGTGATGCTGTTTTTTTAGGCGCCTAAAAAAAGTTGCTCTGTTGCATTGATGACTGGATGGTCAAGGGGAAGCGCCTCCCAGCGCTGCAACAGGAGGTGAGCTGTCTGTGCTGAGCTGTCGATGCTGAGCTGTCGATGCTGAGCTGACGATTCTGAGCTGACGATTCTGAGCTGTCGATGTTGAGCTGTCGATGCTGAGCTGTCGATGCTGAGATGTCGATTCTGAGCTGTCGATGTTGAGCTGTCGATGCTGAGCTGTCGATGCTGAGATGTCGATTCTGAGCTGTCGATGTTGAGCTGTCGATGCTGAGATGTCGATGCTGAGCTGTCGATGTTGAGCTTTGCGATGCTGATGCTGATTGGCGACGGCAAGGGGCCGAGATATTGCCACCTTGGCAAGTGGGGTTTTCTAGGGACAGCTGGCTTGCCCTAAAGCCACTGAAGCCACTGCAGGCCACGAGCTGAGCTGCGATTTGACTTTTGAATCAACTCAAAAGTCACCTCGATATTGCCACCTTGGCAAGTGGGGTTTTCTAGGGACAGCTGGTTTGCCCTAAAGCCACTACGGGCCATTCAAATCGCAGCAAGTTGGTGCAACTACGGGCCATGCGAGTTGAGCTGCAATTCCTGGTGTGGCGTGGTGTAGTGTGGTGTAGTGTGGTGTGGTGTGGTGTGGTGTGGTGTGGTGTAGTGTGGTCTCAAGTGGGCTAGGGATGATAGGGTCATGCCGTGCATGCAACACATGACACTCTTAGCTTCTGAGTCGCCTCAAAAGTCACCTCTTTGACGGGGACCCGCATAATGGCAAGCTCGCCATGCATGCATGTATGCATGCCTGCAGTACATCACATATCATCACATCAGACTCTCAGGCTTCCCTGCATGAGCTCTCCTTTGCTCATTCCCATCGGTCCGTCCGTCATCTGTACCATATCCACGTGCGTGCGCAAAAGGTCTTCCTGCTCTCTCTCCCTGCATGTGCGTGTGTGGCATTCCTGTCCCATGCACTTTACATGTGTTTTGCATGTGTGTGCGTGGCATGTGGCATGTGTGTGGCATGTGCGCATGGCATGTGCGTGGCATGTGCGCATGGCATGTGTGTGGCATGTGCGCATGGCATGTGTGTGGCATGTGCGCATGGCATGTGTGTGGCATACGCGCATGGCATGTGTGTGGCATGTGCGCATGGCGTGTGTGTGTATGGCATGCTCGTGCATGGTATGTGCGTCCATGGCATGCGCATGTACATGTGCATGAGTCATCTCTCTCCACAGTTTCTTCTTGGAGGAAATCAACGAACCTTGCCAATCCCTGCTAGCCCTATTCCACCGCCTCATACCACTACAGCCACTACCCCACCAACAGCCACTACCACCACTACCACCACTGCGCCCACTACCCCCATTACCACCACCACCACCACCACCTCCACTACCACCACAGCCACCGCTGCCCTTACTGCCCCCATCAGTACCACAGGAAACTGGGTCACCACACCCACCACCACCGGCACTGCCCCTGCCGCCCCCCTCCACCCGCACTGGCCAGCGTTCCTCGTCCCGGTGCTGGCAGACATACAGGCCGCAGAGCAGGGGGTGCTGTTCCTGAAGCACATGCAGGCGCGGGGAAGGAGGCAGGGCGCGGAGCAGGGAAGCGGGGGAGGTGGGAGCGGAGGGAAGGGTAGTGGAGGAGGGGGAAGCGTGGGGAAGGGAACAGGGAGAGGGGAGAGCATGGAGAAAGGAAGAGGGAGAGGGAAGGGGCGGGGGCGGGGTGTGGAGGGACAGCAGGAGAAGCTGCGAGTGGACAATGAGGATGAAGGGACCGCCTTCTCCTCCACTTCCGCCTCCACGTGCCTTAACTCGCCAGCAGCCAAGAGGCTCATCTCCGCCCACCTGTACCGTGCTCTCTACACACACCTGCAACCCAGTGCGGTACAATCCGGTGCAGAACAGTCCTCCTCCTCGTTCGCTTCCTCCTCGTATGCCTCCTCCCCCTCCTCCTCGTCACCGCCAGTGCCGTTGTCTCCATTGTCCCACTCCCCATCGTCCTCCTCAGTGGCATCTGTGGCATCATTAGCATCGCTGTCAGCTGCGCCTGAGTCGGGATCAGAAGGGAATCTCGAGGAAGAATATGTGGAGCAAGGATATTCGGTGGAGGAGGAGGAGGAAGAGGCGAGGCACTGGGGCGAGGTGCATGGTGGTGGTGTGGCGAGAGGAGCGGGAGGAGCAGCAGGTGGTGGGGCAGCAGGATGGGGAGGAGAGAGAGGTGGCAGGGCGGGAGGAGGGTACGAGGCGTCTTATTGGTTGTGGAGGGGCAGTGTGGATGACACGGCTGATTGGATGGAAATGGTGGGATGAGAGGGATGCAAAGGGGTGGAGAGGGGTGCAAGGGGTGGTTAGAGGGATGCACGAGGTGGTGAGAGGGATGGTGAGACAGGCTCAAGGGGTAGTGCACTGATTTGAACACGTGATCCTAATTCCTTTTCTCTCTGTCCTTTGCTCCTATAGCTGCCGCCTATTATCTTGCACATCCTTCTCACTTCTCAGGGATCCCATGTTGGAAATTTGAACCGTTTTCCCCCTTCCTCATTCATCCCATCCATCCATCCATCCATCCATCCATCCATCCATCCATCCATCCATCCCTCCCCCTCCCATGTGTTCACCCCATTGTCAACGAGCACAGTTGGAGGAGGAAGTGAGACTGGGACGAGTGAGAGGGGGAGAGAGTGGGGGAGGGGGGGGGGAGGAGGAGGAGGAGGAGGAGGAGGAGGAGGAGGAGGAGGAGGAGGAGGAGGAGGAGGAGGAGGAGGAGGAGGAGAGAAGGGAGGAGAAGCAGCAGCGTGAGGAAGGGGAGGGAGGGTTGGAAGGGAGCGAGGCAGTAACTGCACACAAGGCTCATCTCCACCTAATGCTCTGGCTCGAGTCCTTTTGTGACGCTTCTGAGGAGTCTGGTGGTGGTGGTGGTGGCGGTGGTGGTGGGAAAGGAGAGGCGGATAGAGTTCTGGATAATCCTACTTGCCTGCTACAGCAGTGGATACATCCTCCCATTCAAGCGTGGGTGAGTGAGCGCTTGTTTTAAGTCCACTCAAACTGCACCTACACTCAGACTGCACCTACACTCAGACTGCACCTACACTCAACTTCCACCCCCTTCTTCCCCGCTTTCACTCGCCATCGACTCTCCTGCAGGCCGCGCTGGTGGCAGCAGACACGGTGCGATGCCTCAAGATGCACTGCAGGATCATGGGGACCTGTGAGGTCCTAAGGGATCTCACTTTCCCCCATCGCCTTCCCCCAATCATTCCCCCACCCCTCTTTCCCCCCTCACTTGCAGGCCGCGCTGGTGGCAGCAGACACGGTGCGATGCCTCAAGATGCACTGCGGCATCATGGGGACCTGTGAGGTCCTAAGGGATCTCACTCTCCCCCATCGCTTCCCCCCCCATCATTCCTCTCCCCCATCGCCCTCCCCTCCCCCCATCATTCCTCCCCCCTTCTCCTGCAGGCAGCACTGGTGGCAGCAGACACGGTGAGATGCCTCAAGGCGCACTGTGGCATCATGGAGACGCTTCAGGCCCTGAGGGACCTCTTCTTCATCGGGGGAGGTAACTTGCATTTCACTCTTCTCGAATCTCGACCCACCTTTCCCTATCTGCTGTGCTGTCCTTCCTTGGTCCGACCCTAGAGCTCTTGAGAAACCTCTCCTGTGGATTGAATAAATCTTGACCGCCACCATCCCCCCTCTTCTCTGCTCTCCCTTTTCCCTGTCTGCCGTGCAAGAAGAGAAGGTAGGACCGGCCCTTGAGGCTAATTTGCTGACTTGTAGCAATGTTTTCGAGTTTTTTTTATGATATTTGGTGCTATGGAATCTGTGATTAGGCATTGAGGAGAGTTCTGAGGCGCCTTAAAACTCACTTCGATGGTACAACTCACCTCAGTGATCACAAATTCCATATCATCGAAGCCTGAAGGTCATGGGTGTTCAGGCCTGATAGCAAAGCCTCAAGCATTGAGGTGTGTCAAACACCCAGGAGCAGTGCTGGTGGAGAGGGAGCACGTATGGCTAAACCAGCACAAGCGCCTGTGTTTCTGGGGGAGCTGTGGAAGCACATGCACTGCAACGTGCTGCTGCCATCACACAGCACCGAATCCATCCTCTCCCCCTTTTCCCTGTCTGCCATCCTCTCTCCCTTGCGTGCCTCCCTCCCCCCCTCTCAGTCTCAGTGGCACCTGTGTTCCTTGGGGAGCTATGGAAGCACATGCTTACTTGGTCCACCCTTTTCTCCTCCACGGTCCACCTTTTTCTCCTCTTTCCCATGCGTGTTCCCCCCCTTCCCCCACTCTCAGTCTCAGTGGCACCTGTGTTCCTTGGGGAGCTATGGAAGCAGATGCGCAGCAACGTGCTGTTGCCAGCGCACACCACCGAATCACTGCAGCAACTCATGGACGTAAGTGACGAGAGTGGTGTGAGTGGTGTGAGTGGCGAGAGAGGCGAGAGAGGCGAGAGACATGAGAGTGATGATGTCATAAGTACATACGCGTGCTGGATGGTGTATGAAAGTCATATTCAGTCATTTCTGCCTTCTCTCGTCCGTGTTCCTTCACCAACTACCCGACCTATGCTGCCAAGCAAGCACCACGATCTGCTCCGTGCAAAGATATCTGGGCTTATTCCTATCGCTTCCCTCCTCTCGCCCTCCATCGACCTGCTTCTTTGCCTCGTCACACTACTGATGTCAGCACACAACCCTCACCAACCCTCATCTACATCGCATTATCGCATACATCCTCTCACAAGCTCTTCTCTATTTCCCATGCCCATGATCACTTTCACCCTTTCCTCCGCCCTGCTCCCTCGCTCCCTGCCTCCCTCCCCATCCCTCCCACTCTCCCTCTCTCTGCTTGCCTGCAGAGTTTCCTTGCTGCAGCGGCACATGGACACACATCTCCGCCACCATTCAATACAATCACTGTCACTCTCTGCAGCAAAGCCTCTGACTCCCCCACTACCACAGACGCACACTCTCCCCTCCACCCATCCTCACCTGCCATCACCACCAATCCCACTGATCTACTGCCGTCTGCCACATCATCTAATCCTTTGCTTCCTTACGCCACTTCCGCTGCCACTCCTTTTGCCTATGCCAAGCCGTTTGGCACCGAACCTACTAGCAAGGCTGAACCTGCAACTCCCATCAGGTTCACTGCCCATGCCGGGCCTGTACCCTTTGCCGGACCTCCAGCCTCGGTATCATCCAAACCTTTTGCCGGACTTACTGGACCTTCCTTGCTTGCCGGACCTACTGCTCGTGCCGGGGCTGGTGGCGCGTCAGGTGTCAAAGCCTCAACGCCCATGCCCAGACCTGGAGGTTCGGGGAGCGGAGGTGGTTCGGCGATGCAGGTTCGGGTGACAGCAATGATGAAGTTGTTAGAGAGGATCCACATGAAGCCTGAGGTTAGTGCTTATTCGCTCACAATGGCTCCTAAGGAAAGAGAGGGGGGAGAGAGGGGGGAAGAGGGGTGGGAGGGGAGGGGGAGCTGAGAGCAAATGGAAATACATGCGTCTACCTTTGAGGTACCCTAAAGCAGGGCCGGTACAGTAAACAAGTAAGTCTCCTGCCTTTAGGGGAAGGAAATTGTGACAATAGGTGTGTATGCTTTCGAGCACGTGCTCACATGTTCAGTTTAACTCACATACCATCTTCTTTCATTGAGTTTCCAGTTTTTTGTCACATTTTTTTTTTTTTTTTTTTTCGTTATCCATCCCACCTGTGCTCTTAACCTTCTCGCCTTGTGTGTGTGCACTTATTTTTGTCGCATGTGTGTATTGTAATTTGCATCCACTCCCGTACCATCCTCCATGCATCCTTATTCTATGTGCTGTCCTCTTATGTTCGTTTGTTCTTTGTTGTTACCGCTGACATTGTCATAACATCCAGCTGCAGCCATGACAATGTTATAATTCCATAAAGAAGGCAGCTGGATGTTTGTTATTCATCGTCATAATCAGCACATGGCATCCAGCACTCTCTCTCATGCACATGGCTGCATGCACCTGCTTCGCTCCTTCCATCCATCCTGCCTTGTCCCCCTTTGTCAAATTTACATCCCAGCTAGTTTATTATCTCTTCCTCTCCCCTCCCTCCTTCCCCATGCCTGCCTGCCTGCCTGCCTGCCTGGCAGCTGGAGTGGCCATTGGATAACCTCATGCACCCTGCAGCATGCGCCAAGTACAACCAGGTGTGTGTGCGTGTTGAATAGTGCAAGCAAGCGTTGCGCGTGCGTAATAGACACCGGCAGTGGGAAGCATACACTTAGTACTCGTTAATAGCAGGTAATTGAAAGTGCTTGGGCCTCCGGAATTTGCTTTCCCTGCAGCATGCGCCAATTACAACCAGGTGTGTTTGTAGAGAAGTGTTTGAGTTCTCGAGCGCGATCCTTTCTTTGTTTTGAGTTGACTCAAAACAGGTCTCAAGCGTGATCCTCAATGAGGTTGCAAGCCATGGTGGCAAGAGAAGCACGAGAGCCATGCTTGGCTGTCACTAGCGCGCGCCTGGTTGCATATGCAGTCAGCTTGACTTTCCTTTCTTATGTGCCCATCACAGCATAAGACTATGACGAGAACATGACATGACAACAACCACATCATGCCATCATCAGCACACAGCACACAGCAGACAGCAGACAGCAATCGCACCTTTCTGCCGTTCCTCTCAAGCCTAGCCCAACGCTGCCAAGGCTTCTGTCTGACCTCCTCCCCCCGCATGCCTCTCTCCCCCATCTGTTGCTGCTCTCGCTGCTCCCCACTCCCCGCGGTGCTCCTCATCTCTTTTCTTTCTTCTCCAAGCTCTCTCTCGCCATGACTACTCTCCCCCTTTTTTCTGCTCTCACGAAGACTGCTCTTGCCGAAATCGTATAGAATAATGTCGTCTCCACGCTCCTTTTCCTCCTTGCTGCTACTCCCCACTGCCCACCTCTCAGCTCTTTTCGTTCTTCTCCAAGCTCTCTCTTGCCAAGACTGCTCTAAGCACCACCAAGGCACGCATGCTGCAGGTGATGAGAGGCACGTACACATGCATGCATGAGAGGAGATTCAAATGGTTGGGAAAAAAGGGCATCAACTGTAAAGACTATGTTGCGTGGTTGGGTTGGGAGAGGGGGAAGAGGTAGCCATGTGGTGGATGTCAATCCATTTTTGAGTCGACTCAAAAGTCACCTCGTTGGTTGGGTTGGGAGGATGTCATTTGAGAAAAGGAAGAGAAAAGGTAGTCATTTGATGGATGTCAATCCATTGGTGCTTCGTTGGCATGCCCGCATGTGCCAACCAATGAAGGCGAAGGGGAAGGATGTCAGAATATGTTGTTTGTGTAGCCTGCAGTGGGGTACTCAATAGTGAGTACAACCCCTTAGGGTTTGCTATTTGTATCCTGCTGCTTGCTAGTTCAATCATCCCTTCCTCATTTCTGTTCGTGCACACAACTCTCGCTCGTACTTGGCGCCTCGTTCCTAGTCCTACTGTGGCCTAGGCTACTAAGCCTAGGCCCCACTCCTAGTATTTTGACATGGTATCAGAGGGCGGCGTGTCACTGCCGCCTTCCTGTATGGGCCCACCACCTGCTTCCGCTGCCGTACTGTCCGCCGCGCGCCCCGTGGTGCGCGGCGGCGAAACCCTAATTTCTGCCCGCCGCGCGCTCGGGGCGCCTGGCGGTTTTCCCTTCCGTGGCGCCCGTCGTGGTGCCCTTGGGGGGGCCTCCGCGGTCCCCTCCCGTCGACGCGCCCGTCGAGGCGCTCTCGGGGACCCACGCGGCCTCCCCTCCCGTCGCCCGTCGAGGCGACCTCGGGGACCCGCGCGGCCTCCCCTCCCGTCGCCCGTCGAGGCGACCTTGGGGGCCCGCGCGGCCTCCCCACCAGTCGCCCGTCGTGGCGACCACGGGGGCCGCGCGCGGTCCCCTCCCGTCGCCCGTCGAGGCGACTTCGGGGGCCGTGCGAGGCCCTCCCCGTCGCCCGTCGAGGCGACTTCGGGGGGCCCGCGCGGCGCCCTCCCCGTCGCCCGTCGAGGCGACTTCGGGGGGCCCGCGCGGCGCCCTCCCCGTCGCCCGTCGAGGCGACTTCGGGGGGCCCGCGCGTCGCCCTCCCCGTCGCCCGTCGAGGCGGCTCTGGGGGCCCGTCGCGGCGCCCTCCCTGGTGCCCGTCGCGGCGCCCCGGGGGGGGCCGCGCGGCTCCCTTCTCGTCGCCCCTCGGGGCGCCCTGGGGGCCGTGTGTTTTCCCCTCCCCCCTCCTCCTACCTTCACCTGCAGCGGCCGCCCCTGGAGCCGCCCCTGGAGCAGCCCGTGCCTGCAGCAGCCGCCCCTGGAGCAGCCCGCACCTGCAGCAGCTGCCCGTCCCTGCAGCCCGTCCCGTCTCCCCCACCTCCCCCCCCCCCCCCCCCCCCGTGCTGCCCATTGCTCCCATTCCGCCGTGCGTTCCGCGGTGGTGGGGGTGTGGGGTGGCGAGCATGGGGGTGAGCGGTGTGGGTTCTCCCCTCCTCCTTTTTCGTCTCCCACTGCTGCAGCTGCCGCTGAGGGGGGTGGAGGTGTGGGATTCGTGGGGAGTGGCACTAGGGGGGTGATGTGGGAGTGGAGCTAGGGGTGAAGCAGTGGGTGTGTGAGAGAGGTGTGGGACTGTTGGGGGAGGTTGAGTGGAGGCAGCCGTCGTGTCGTCCGCAGCGCCTGTATTCCGGGGCCCTTGTCGCCGGTAGCTCAGAGAGCCTGCTGCACCTGTTGCCCGTGGGTCCGTTGCTCCTGCCGCTCGTCGCAGCCGCAGAGCCTGTTACTCCTGTATTCCGGGGCCCTTGTCGCCGGTAGCTCAGAGAGCCTGCTGCACCTGTCGCCCGTGGATCTGTTGCTTCTGCCGCTCGTCGTAGCCGCAGAGCCAGTTACTCCAGTATTCCGGGGCGCTCTGTCTCGGTAGCCACTGTGTCAGCCGCCACTGTGTCAGCCGCTTCTGTTGCCCGTGTGTCTGCAGCTTCAGTCGTCGCCTCCCATCTTCTCTCCTCTCACAGTCCCGCCTTCTCCTCACTTGCCCGCTGTGACTACCACTAGCTTTGCTCATATTTATGAACTATTGCTATGACTGCTCATTGTGCTGATTACACCCCACTTTGGCTATGGGGGAGGGGGTGTGTCAGAATATGTTGTTTGTGTAGCCTGCAGTGGGGTACTCAATAGTGAGTACAACCCAGTTAGGGTTTGCTATTTGTATCCTGCTGCTTGCTAGTTCAATCATCCCTTCCTCATTTCTGTTCGTGCACACAACTCTCGCTCGTACTTGGCGCCTCGTTCCTAGTCCTACTGTGGCCTAGGCTACTAAGCCTAGGCCCCACTCCTAGTATTTTGACAAAGGATAGTCACCCACTTTTTTCTTGAAATGGCAGCTGCACTCGCCCGCCCACTCGCATCTCCTGTACCATTCCAACCGCTCCCGCCCTTTGTGTCATGCACCACTCCAGCCTCCTGCCCTGTCTCTCGTGCATCAATCCACTAAACACTCCCATCCCCCTCTGCTTTGTTGCATGGCAGGAGCGGCGTTGCTTCCGTGACATGCCCCTGGCGGCACAGAGGGAGCTGCTGATGGTGCAGCACATGCAGCATGCCTTGCAAGCCGTCCACTCCTTCCTCATGGCCAATGTGCGTGCATGCATGCACCCAATGCAGGCAGCAATTCATGCACGCATCCAGCACATGCAGCATGCACTGCATGCCATCCACTCGTTCCTCATGGCCAATGTGTGCGAGCCGTACATGCAGTGCATGGAACACATGCACCACGCGCATCACATACAGCACATGTAGCATGCCTTGCACAGACAATCGTTCCTCATGGCCAATGTGTGTGAGCCACGTGGCTGTAAAGGACGCATGGAGCATATGCCCCGGTTTTGAGTTCTTAAGTTTTTCTTAGACGTTACAAAACTGCAGCACACGCCACACATGCAGCACATGCAGCACATGCAGCACATGCAGCACATGCAGCACATGCAGCACATGCAGCACATGCAGCACATGCAGCACATGCAGCACATGCAGCACATGCAGCACATGCAGCACATGCAGCACATGCAGCACATGCAGCACATGCAGCACATGCAGCACATGCAGCACATGCAGCACATGCAGCACATGCAGCATGCCAACCAATCCATCCATCAAGCTCTCGCTCTTTCTCTCTTCCTCTCGTCCACTCTTCCTTGCCCATCCAGTCCCCACCCTCTTCTCCCCTCTCTTCTCCTCACCCTCTACTGTCTCCATTCTTCCGCCGATCTCACCTCCCTCTCCTCCCCTCTCCTCACGCTCCCCCACCCCTCCCCACATGCCCTTCCTAGGCGGTGACAGCAGCATGGCACGAGCTGCAGGCGGCCATGGGAAGAGCAGCATCCATGGTTGAGTGTTGAGTCAATTCGAAAGTCCTTTTCCCCCTCCTCACACTCCCGTCCCTCTTCTCTCCTTTCCCAGGCGGTGAAAGCAGCATGGCACGAGCTGCAAGCGGCCATGGGCAGAGCATCATCCGTGGCAGCAGTGCTGCAAGCACACCACCACTACCTTCACTCCATCCTCGAAGGATGCTTCCTCGTTAACTCCACCAACATGGTCAGTCAGTCTACGTCAGTCAGCAACTCTGCCCCTTGTATCTCACTTCGCCGCACTTCCATCTCCTAACTCGCACCGCGTGGCCTCATTCCCTGTGTTGAGACGTCTCAAAACTCAGTCCCTGTCCTCCTCCTCTCTCCAATTCCATCGTCTCACCTTTCAGCTTCTCTTCTCCCCGTCTTCCTTCCCCATGCGGCCATCCACCCCACGCTTCAGGGGAATGCTATCACCGGCTTCATAGTCTATCTGTCGAGCTAAAATCGTTCTCTTCTGCGCATCTTCCTTCCCCTTCCCACCACCCATCTTGCCTCTCTCACCAGGGCAAGGCCATCACGAACCTGATAGCCTCTCTGTCCAGCAAGACTCTTCTCTTCTGCGCACTCTACCACTCCCGCCGCTCGCTGCAGCGCCCACACTCCATTCCATCACCCACCCCTTCCGCCACCATGCCTAATGCTACCAGCAGCACCCCAATGCACACACACACGGCTAGCACCAGCACGCCTGCATACACACCCACTGCCAGCAGCAGCAGGGTGGGAGCAAGAGATGAAAGCTACAAGGAGGGAGGAAGGGAGAAGAGGAGTGGCAGGGGAGCGGCGGAGGAGGCAGCAATCAATGCGGAGATTCAGCAGCTGGGGGATTTCTTCCATGCTGACGTGTCGGCCATCCTGCAGGTAGGTCAGTCTGACGTGTCGGCCATCCTGCAGGTAGATCAGTCTGACGTGTCAGCCATCTTGGAGGTAGGTCGTGGTGACGTGCCGGTCATCCTGGAGGTGGGTTTGTCTGACGTGTCAGGCAACATGAGGTCATGCTGACGTGCAGGCCATCTTGGAGGCAAGGTATGGATACGGTACCATTCAACCTGCAAAGTGAGACTGCTCTGCGGACAAGGCTGCAGTGCATTGGAAGCAAGCAAGGCTTTCACTGTTGCAGTTGTTGTTTGGAAGACTTGGTTCTCCCAGATGACAAGATAGTGCATTTATAGTCCCTCTCCTGTATTGTTTTTTAGCCATGGCTTACAATGTTGTTCCCTTCTTTTTTCTGTGAATGTGCCGTCATTGTTGTCTCGTCACACAACACAACATACACTTCATGCCCCTTCTCTTGTGCTTACTGGCTGCATGGCATGCAGGTGGCTCGCAACCAAGCGGAGAAGTTGCCGTCGAGCATTCGGGACCTTCTGCAGCAGCTGAATTACAACCGTTTTTATGGATAAAAACAGCCATATTGATGTTCTTGTTACGCTAATGCATCGTTCATCTGGCTGGACAACACAAGGCTTCAGTATTCACCTCAAACCAAACCTGATGACTTAGATAATACACTTCCTCCAAAATGACACTGGAAAAGTTACCAACTAGTGCTACCTGGTTACCACTTCCCCTCTAACCAGCTTTCGAGATGGCTTCTACACCCTGTTTCTCGCTATTGTGAATTCCGGTATACTGAACCCTGTGGCTCAACGCGCCAAATTACGTGCTATAGTCAACTTTTGCACCAGTTCGGTTTGACGAGGTCAGCTACCTTTGAAGACGGTCGGCTGAACTTCTAATATGGCTCGGTAGGGTACCCAGGTTAACGAAATTTCGGATCACCTGCCTCCTATTGTAAACTTTTCGAATACGTCCAAGGAACAGTTCCACTGTTCAGTGTGTTTCCGCAGTTCAGTGTAGCGAGAAACAGGGTGTACATTCCCTCCCGTCAGACAACTTCTCGCTACTTCGCGGCTTCGCTAAAGCTTCTAACTGCTCCCCGCTCGAGCAATCACATCATCATCCTCTCGATCGAATCTTCAAGAGCACACACAAGCTCCCCAACCCAACACCTCAGTCCACTACTAGCACATACACTCTCAGGAGCAGGACCAAGCGCAAGTTCCCGCACACTAACACACTGCGCCCAGAGACCTTCAGCAGGGCGACCTGTCACACTCCAGACCAGAGCTCCTCCGTCCAGCCATCGGCCGCCGCAGACGAGATTCCTTGTTTTTCTCGCGGTCGCTTTCGCCTCAGCCATAGCATTGTCCGTTCAATCCTCGTTTGTCTCAGCATCGGCGACAGCTTTCTATCCACTCCTAATTGCTTGCTGCGACGACACGTCCTGTTGAACAACTGGACAGGGAGCAGCAGGTGTCAGGACCCTAGTCGCGTTCTGATTCTTCACTCCGAGACAAAAAGATCGACAGCAAAATCAGACTGACCGGCAGTAGTAGCAAGCGGCTAGCCGGCAAAATGGGCGACAATCTCTTCACTCTCTGGCCGTTCCTCATGGTTCTCATTGGCCTGATCCTCGCTGTCCGTTTGCTCCGCAAGCCGAAATGGCGCGACGCGCACTGGTGGGTCTGGCTCTCGCTCGCCGCCACCATCCTCCACAATTTCGAGGAAACCGGCTTCGACGTTCTCGGCCGTCGATTCCACATACACGCGTTCGTCTGCGCACGGCTGGGATTGTACCGCGCGGAGATCGCGCTGTGTCCCGCCGACGCTCCGTTTTTCTTCCTCGTGAATCTCGTGCACACGTGGCTACTATCTACTATGGCGATAACGACGGGGCCGCGACAGCCGCTCGGCGCTGCGATCGCCGTCGCGATTCCGCTCATCGACGCCGTTTCGCACATGTTTTTCGCCGCCACTTCGCTCAGTTACAACCCCGGTTTGGTCACCGCGATTCTCGTCACCGGACCTGTAGGTTTGGGGTTCTTCCGAACCTGTCGGGAGCGGGGTTGGCTGCCGGACCAGCAGCAGTCAGTAGCCTTGGCATGTGGCGCGCTGGTATTGGTCAGTTTCTGGTTCGGATTAGCTTTGGCAGCGGCAGGGCGAGTGAGCAAACCGGCGCTGTGGTGGGCTGAAATGGCCAAGGGCTTTCTGCCGCTGCTGGCACTGCTGTTCAGAAGAATACCCCTTGTTAAAATGTACTCCATGACCGAATGATGGTGGTGAAGAGAACTTTTCTACTTACCTTCCTACCTCCTACCTGCGGACTACCGTTTGCCACCCAAGTTAACCACAGAATGAGAGGAGCTGCTGGCGCTGCTGTTCAGAAGAAACTGAATGCATTTCATAAAAGAGTGAGTGTGCACTGAACAACTTACCGTACCTACAACCGTACTTGTACCCACCTACCCACCTGTCGGACATACACAACGCTGTTCAGAAGAACACCTCTTGCTACCTCTGGCTCCATGACCTAGTGAAGCAACCAGCCCAGGAAGTTGTGTTGGTAGTATGGTGGTTGGTGGAAGTAGCCTCAGTCCTCCAGAGCGGCAGCAGGGAGTCTTGCTTTGCTTTCTGCTCATTTACCCCAAACCCAAACCAAAAGAATCAGTGCAGCAAAATGTGCCCCTGCCCTGCCCCCCCACAGATGCAGTATTGAGAGTGCCTCTTTATGGCTTCGTGCAACGACCAATATTACAACAGATTATTGCCATCCAGAGCCACACTGGCATTAAAAGAGCGCCTGCCACATGAAAGTGGCAGGTTCGGTCAAATGTCGGAGCTGCATGTTGATGGAAGCAGGTCTCCTCTCACCCACATCATCTCAGCACCTCTGCAGCAACTGCAGGTAAGGTGAGGTCATAAGGGCTCTATGAATGGTTTTCCCCGACCCAGTACTGACAAGCACATGAGCAAGTAGGTCAGCTGTGGCTCGGTATACAGCTGCGTTGGCTGCATGCTGCTTGAGCACATCCACTGGCAGAGCGCCTGAGAGGTGTGTTGAGACGCCCCGCCGGAAGACCGCACCTTTGTACGCACAGCACAGAACCGCACAGAACCGCTCTTCGCATCTCATCACTCCACTGCCAGCATATTACTCGTGACCAAAGTGCGTAGCTGCCTCGGCGGCATGCTGCTTGAGCACGTCCACTGGGAGAGCACCAGAGAGGTGCGCCCACGGCAGCACCTCACTCTCCTCCACCTGCTTGCATGGCATGGGGACAACACGCATGGCATGGGGACAACACGCATGGCATGGGGACAACACGCATGGCATGGGGACAACACGCATGGCATGGGGACAACACGCATGGCATGGGGACAACACGCATGGCATGGGGACAACACGCATGGCATGGGGACAACACACATGGCATGGGGACAACACGCATGGCATGGGGACAACACGCATGGCATGGGGACAACACGCATGGCATGGGGACAACACGCATGGCATGTGGACAACACGCATGGCATGTGGACAACACGCATGGCATGGGGACAACACGCATGGCATGGGGACAACACGCATGGCATGTGGACAACACGCATGGCATGTGGACAACACGCATGGCATGGGGACAACACGCATGGCATGGGGACAACACGCATGGCATGTGGACAACACGCATGGCATGTGGACAACACGCATGGCATGGGGACAACACGGATGGCATGGGGACAACACGCATGGCATGTGGACAACACGCATGGCATGTGGACAACACGCATGGCATGGGGATGGACACACACCGTGTCAGTTCAAAGCGCTTGAGTGTGTGCGCGGATGCATGCATGAGTGAGTAGCACTACCACTCCCGAGTTTTGAAACACCTTATACAGCAAACGCACCAGTCGGAAGGCGTAGTACTCAGGCGGCGGCACCTGCCCCCTCATCTCCTTGAAGGCACGCCCCACGAAACCCCGGAACCTGAACCCCCCCCAAACCCCACACAACGCACACCCCAGCACCCACCAGTCTGAAGGCATAGTACTCAGGTGGCGGCACCTGCCCCTTCATCTCCTTGAATGCGCGCCCAAAGCTGCCCTGCGACCCGCCAAACTCCCGTGCCCTCTGCAGCAACCTTGACAGGCGGCGGTCACCTCTTGAGAGAACAGCCTGAGAGGTGATTGATGAGGGAAGGAGGTAGGTCATTGAGAATTGAAACTAGAGCTGCCTTGCGACTCACCGGATTCACGCGCCCGCTGCAGCAGCCTCGACAGACGGCGGTCACCTCTTGAAAGCACAGCCTGAGGATGGATGGATGGATGGATGGATGGATGGATGGCCAGAGGGAATACAAGCGCATGAAAGAGAGTGTAGACACAGGTGGGTTGAGGCGCAGCGCAGCAACACTGTATAAAAGCATTGAGGTGGGTTGAGGCTCATACGGGACTGCATGCACAACGCATGTGAGTGAGCAACGCATGTGAGTGAGCAACGCATGTGAGTGAGCAACGCATGTGAGTGAGCAACGCATGTGAGTGAGCAACGCATGTGAGTGAGCAACGCAGGTTCAGCACCCCACACGCCATACACTCATGAATCTGTTTAACCAGCCTCCCCAGTCCTCCCACACCACCTGCCACGCACGCACACCCCCAACCATGGACGGATCTGTGAACTGCCTCTTAAGCCGACAATCATGCAACCACTTATTCATGATCCCACCTCCCACAAGCTTAAAGCTCACACAGCACATCACCAGCTGTACTTTGAGACGTCTCAAAACACTTCTTCAAGCACATCACCAGCTGTACTTTGAGACGTCTCAAAACACTTCTTCAAGCACATCACCAGCTGTACTTTGAGACGTCTCAAAACACTTCTTCAAGCACATCACCAGCTGTACTTTGAGACGTCTCAAAACACTTCTTCAAGCACATCACCAGCTGTACTTTGAGACGTCTCAAAACACTTCTTCAAGCACATCACCAGCTGTACAGTCAAACCATCCTCTTTCTGCCTCACACTCCCCTTCTCACTCCCCCTCTCCCCCGCCCACCTGCCACACCACATGCTCCACTTGCAGCTCTCAGGGCGGAGCACCACACCCGCATGTGTTAAAGTTGAGTTGGAAGACGTCTCGAAACTATCCACAAGGGTGTGGATCTAGGCACCGAGGTAGAAACAAGTGAACAGCCCAACTCTTCCCTACCTGCCAGACGCTCCACTTGTAGCTCTCAGGGCGGAATTCCACGCCTTCTTTCCGCATTTCCTTTTCCAGCACCCTCAGCCGTGCCTCTGCTGCTGCCTGCACCGGCTGCCACTGGAAGGGCGTGTGCGCCTAGCAGAAGAGGGTTGGGGGGGAAGAGCGGGAACACAACCAGGAGCTGATTTGCGGATGCTCTAGGGAGTTTGGGGAGTGTGCACAAACAACCATTTCTTCTATCATTCTTCAGCACTTCTGGTTCTGGCTGTCCCTCAAAAAACAATGACGGGCGACAGAATTTTCACCTTGGGAACGAAGGTGGAGCACCCAAGTGTGAGCTTGAGGCGGGGAGCCGCCCTCCTCAACTCTCTCATCATGCCCACTGTCTCTGCCACGTCAGCATCCGTCTGCCACGCAGGACAAGGGGGGGGCCGCGAGTAGTGAGTACTTTGGCGCACATAGCATGCATGTACATATGGTGTGCTATGCTATGCTATGCTATGCTATGCTATGCTATGCTATGCTATGCTATGCTATGCTATGCTATGCTATGCTATGCTATGCTATGCTATGCTATGCTATGCTATGCTATGCTATGCTATGCTATGCTATGCTATGCTATGCTATGCTATGCTATGCTATGCTATGCTATGCTATGCTATGCTATGCTATGCTATGCTATGCTATGTATGTACTACTACCTATGCACTATGCATGCAGTGGCAATGATTCTGCTGGGCAGTCTAAATTGAACAACTCGAGGATGAAGCGAGTCACAGGGCGGATGGACGGACCTCACTGGGGAGCCCAACCATGCCGTAGAGCTTCAACCCTGACAAGCCACCCTCCTGTGCGTTGACTGCTGCTGCTACGATGTCTGCTGAATCCAGCTGACAAGATGAGATGAGGCGAGGATCAAACACATGGGAGGGGAAGGGGAAGGGGAAAGGCATGCTGTTTTGAGAATTCTAAAAAACCAACGCATGGGAGGGGAAGGGGAAAGGCATGCTGTAAGTGCCTCACGATTGGCACCCCCTCCTGCGTGTTGCGCGTTGACTGCTGCTGCGATGATGTCTGCTGAGTCCAGCTGCGGTGATGAGGAGATGAGGCGCGGCTCACACACGTGAGAGAGGGTTTGGGGGAAGAGGGGAAGGAGCAATTTACAGGGTTGACTGCTGCTACGATGATGTCTAATGAGTCCAGCTGACATGGCAAGACAAGGCACGGGAGGCTCACAAACATTGGGGGTTGAAGAAAAATCTCGAAGCACCTCCTTCCTCCCACACTAACTACCTTCTTGTTCAGTGCACTACGTTCTTGCTCACCGCACTAGATTCTTGCTCACAGCACTACATTCCTGTACACCGCACTACATACCTTCTTGTTCAACGCATTACATTCTTGCTCACAGCACTACATTCCTGTACACCGCACTACATACCTTCTTGTTCAACGCATTACATTCTTGCTCACAGCACTACATTCCTGTACACCGCACTACATACCTTCTTGTTCAATGCATTACATTCTTGCTCGCAGCACTTCATTCCTGTACACCGCACTACATACCTTCTTGTTCAACGCAGTACATTCTTGCTCGCAGCACTTTCATTCCTCTTCACCGCACTACATTCCTGTTGACCGCACTGCATACCTTCTTGTTCACCACGCGCCGCATGCGCTCGGAACCACTCTCAACCGCAACGGTGAGCGACCGAGTCCCTGACTGTGCTAACGCCGCTGCGAGCTTGGGGGTCACTGTGTTTGTGCGCACTGATGCAATGCTGACGTGGGGAGGGAGGAAGGGGACGAAGGAATGAGAGGCATACATGTAATGTAAGCCAATGTAAGCCAATGTATGGCAGCGTAAGGCAGTGTAAGGACTGTGACGGCAAGGCCGCTGCGAGCTTGGGGGTCACTATGTTGGTGCGCGGTGCGCTGATGCGGAGCTGGTGTGGCATGTGTGGAAGAGAAGAGAGGGGACGAGGGAAAGGTAAGGCAAGGCAAGCAATGCAACGCTGCTGCCTGCCAGATGGCAGTGCATAGCACAGCACCGCACAGCACAGCACAGCACAGCACAGCACAGCAGGTACGGAAGGGAAGGGAAGGGCAGGGAAGGGAGTGAGGGCGTACCTGAGGCGAATGTCTTTCATGTGGGGCTGCAGCAGGTACGAGAGCAGGCTGTCAAACTGTGGATGCTGCGTCACTGATGCTCCCAGCAGGCCTATGCGATTGGTCACCTGCGATGCAAGCGAGGGTGTAGAGTTGGTTGGGAAGAAAACTCAAACTGACACTCCTTGAGTCGACCCAAAGGTCACTGCCGCTCCCAGCAGGTCCATGCGGTTCGTCACCTGCAAGCTTTTGAGTCGACTCAAAAGTCACCCGCGAGCGAGGGTGTAAAGTGTTGGCTTGCATTGCAGAGGAACACTGAACAGACTTGTGTGGATTGCAGGACGAATTACAATCCGCATGGCACAGAACAAGAGTGATTCGAGCAGTGGATGCTATGCGGGGCACTTACCTGCAAAGCTCTCTATATCCTGGTGCATGAGGCTTATTTACCTGCAAAGCTCTCTATATCATGGTGCATGAGGCTTATTTACCTGCAAAGCTCTCTATATCATGGTGCATGAGGCTTATTTACCTGCAAAGCTCTCTATATCATGGTGCATGAGGCTTATTTACCTGCTGGCCTGGCCTCTACCTGTGGCAGACATGAGGTGTGACTGCCTGCACGCCACTCTCTATAGCGGGGATGGGGTGTACTTACCTGGAGGCCTCGCTCTATAGCAGGGATGAGGTGTAGTCTACTCACCTGCAGAACTTTCCCTATAGCGGGGATGAGGTGTAATTACATGCAGGTCTCTCCCTAAAGCGAGAATGGGGTTTAGTCTAATCACCTGCAGGCCTCTCCCAATAGCGGGGATGAGGTGTAGACTACTCACCTGCAGAACTTTCTCTATAGCAGGGATGAGGTGTAAATACCCGCAGGCCTCTTTCTATAGCGGGGATGAGGTGTAGTTACCTGCAGGCCTCTCTCTATAGCGGGGATGAGGTGTAAATACCCGAAGGCCTCTTTCTATAGCAGGGATGAGGTGTAGTTACCTGCAGGCCTCTCTCTATAGCGGGGATGAGGTGTAGTTACCTGCAGGCCTCTCTCTATAGCGGGGATGAGGTGTAGTTACCTGCAGGCCTCTCTCTATAGCGGGGATGAGGTGTAGTTACCTGCAGGCCTCTCTCTATAGCGGGGATGAGGTGTAGTTACCTGCAGGCCTCTCTCTATAGCGGGGATGAGGTGTAGTTACCTGCAGGCCTCTCTCTATAGCGGGGATGAGGTGTAGTTACCTGCAGGCCTCTCTCTATAGCGGGGATGAGGTGTAGTTACCTGCAGGCCTCTCTCTATAGCGGGGATGAGGTGTAGTTACCTGCAGGCCTCTCTCTATAGCGGGGATGAGGTGTAGTTACCTGCAGGCCTCTCTCTATAGCGGGGATGAGGTGTAGTTACCTGCAGGCCTCTCTCTATAGCGGGGATGAGGTGTAGTTACCTGCAGGCCTCTCTCTATAGCGGGGATGAGGTGTAGTTACCTGCAGGCCTCTCTCTATAGCGGGGATGAGGTGTAGTTACCTGCAGGCCTCTCTCTATAGCGGGGATGAGGTGTAGTTACCTGCAGGCCTCTCTCTATAGCGGGGATGAGGTGTAGTTACCTGCAGGCCTCTCTCTATATCTCTCTATAGCGGGGATGAGGTGTAGTTACCTGCAGGCCTCTCTCTATAGCGGGGATGAGGTGTAGTTACCTGCAGGCCTCTCTCTATAGCGGGGATGAGGTGTAGTTACCTGCAGGCCTCTCTCTATAGCGGGGATGAGGTGTAGTTACCTGCAGGCCTCTCTCTATAGCGGGGATGAGGTGTAGTTACCTGCAGGCCTCTCTCTATAGCGGGGATGAGGTGTAGTTACCTGCAGGCCTCTCTCTATAGCGGGGATGAGGTGTAGTTACCTGCAGGCCTCTCTCTATAGCGGGGATGAGGTGTAGTTACCTGCAGGCCTCTCTCTATAGCGGGGATGAGGTGTAGTTACCTGCAGGCCTCTCTCTATAGCGGGGATGAGGTGTAGTTACCTGCAGGCCTCTCTCTATAGCGGGGATGAGGTGTAGTTACCTGCAGGCCTCTCTCTATAGCGGGGATGAGGTGTAGTTACCTGCAGGCCTCTCTCTATAGCGGGGATGAGGTGTAGTTACCTGCAGGCCTCTCTCTATAGCGGGGATGAGGTGTAGTTACCTGCAGGCCTCTCTCTATAGCGGGGATGAGGTGTAGTTACCTGCAGGCCTCTCTCTATAGCGGGGATGAGGTGTAGTTACCTGCAGGCCTCTCTCTATAGCGGGGATGAGGTGTAGTTACCTGCAGGCCTCTCTCTATAGCGGGGATGAGGTGTAGTTACCTGCAGGCCTCTCTCTATAGCGGGGATGAGGTGTAGTTACCTGCAGGCCTCTCTCTATAGCGGGGATGAGGTGTAGTTACCTGCAGGCCTCTCTCTATAGCGGGGATGAGGTGTAGTTACCTGCAGGCCTCTCTCTATAGCGGGGATGAGGTGTAGTTACCTGCAGGCCTCTCTCTATAGCGGGGATGAGGTGTAGTTACCTGCAGGCCTCTCTCTATAGCGGGGATGAGGTGGTCTTCAAGAGCGGCAGGGCGGAAGGGCAGAGAGGAGTAGCTGGCGAGGCAGAAACGACAGACCTCGGGACAGCTGCGCACCACCTGATATGGGGGAGGGGGGGCGTGCGAGGGAGGGGTGGGGCAAACAGAATAAGTTCGGCGTGGTGGCCAGCTGCTTGCCTTGGTGTGTCTGAGTCGACTCAAACAAGCCACCGTTTAGCACACAGAACAAAACAACAAAGAGAGCAGCAGTCGCACCTCCACCATGTTTATCCCTCCCATGCCATGCGCGGCACGGCAAGGAGACACCACAGTGGACGTGGCCAGCTACTTGCCTCTGTACGTCTGAGTCGACTCGCACTTAGGAGAACACAACACAGAGCCACACACAGACAGCAGCACTCGCACCGCCACCATGTATATCCCCTCCCATGCCATGCGCGGCGGCGACACCACAGTGGACGTCGCCAGCTGCCTGCCCCGGCGGTGTGTCTGGTGGCGTTGACTTGCACCTAGGAGAAGACAGAAGGAAACAACAAAGACAGCAGCCACTCCTCCATGTCACTTCCTTCCCACCCCTCCACCATGTATACCCCCTCCACCATGTATACCCCCTCCACCATGTATACCCCCTCCACCATGTATACCCCCTCCACCATGTATACCCCCTCCACCATGTATACCCCCTCCACCATGTATACCCCCTCCACCATGTATACCCCCTCCACCATGTATACCCCCTCCACCATGTATACCCCCTCCACCATGTATACCCCCTCCACCATGTATACCCCCTCCACCATGTATACCCCCTCCACCATGTATACCCCCTCCACCATGTATACCCCCTCCACCATGTATACCCCCTCCACCATGTATACCCCCTCCCACGCCATGCGCCTCAGAGACACCACAGTGGACGTGGCCAGCTGCTTGCCTTACTCGGTAAGTCTGCGCCGACTCATGTCACCTAATCGCACACTTAGGAGCACGCACAGCACAGCAGACAGACAGCAATCTCACTCACCTCCACCATTTATATCCCTTCCCACGACACCACAGTGGACGTGGCCAGCTGCTTGCCCCGGTACGTCTGAGTCGACTCAAAAGTCACTCTTTAGCACACAAACCAAAACACATATCAAGCACTCTCACCTCCATCATGTATATCCCTTCCCACGCTATGCGAGGAGACACCACAGTGGACGTCGCCAGCTGCTTGTCTTCCTCGCTACGTCTGCGCCGACTCACAAGGCATCCTTTAACACACAGTGAGAACAGCACAGATATCAGTCGCACCTCCACCATGTATATCCCTTCCCATGCCATGCGAGGCGACACCACAGTGGACGTGGCCAGCTGCTTGCCCCGGTACGTCTGCCTCTCCACCACCGCAGGTGGTGCCAGGAGCATCCCTGCACTGCTGCTGTTGCTGCTGCCGCCACTGGTGATGCTGCTGCTGCCAGCTGGCAGTTGCAGGGGTGACACGTCAGCAATGGGCCCCGTGGGGCTGTGGTATTGCACCCGGTACAGCAGAGGCACGTACACCCCTGGCACCTGATTGGTTGGTTGTGGGGCGAGATGAATGAGAGAGAGAGGGTAGAGTGAGACGGTGGGTGGAGAGCAGTGAAGAGAAGTTGCAGGGGAGGAGTGCTGCGGGTTTCCAGGGAGGTGAGAGTTTGGAAGATATACAAGAGCAGGTTTAGATGGGAAATCGGCCAAGGATGACGAATAAGCGGTGGGACTCATAAGCTGTAATGCCGAATTTTCAAACGGATCTGTCATCATTGCCACACTCCCACTAACCTGAGCAATTAACCTGCTCCAGAGCCGAGAGTATTTCCAACCGCCTGCTTCTGCTACTATCACCACACCACCACTAGCGACTTCCACCCCTCCTCCCAACACACACGCCTCAAACTTTGTGACGTCTCACAACTAACCTGAGCAAGAGCCGAGAGTATTTCCAATCGTCTGCTGCTTCTGCTGCTATCACTCGCCCCCTCCACCCCTCCTCCCGACACACACGCCTCGAACGCGTCCACGAAGCTTCCCAGAAGCTCCTCCCCATCCCCCATCAGAATCACATCAAAGAAATCCGCAAACGGCTCCGGATTGGCCGAGAGAACCGCGCCCCCTCCGAACACGAAACACGTGGAACCACTCTCCAGCCGCTCCTCAGATCTCACCGGAACCCCCAGATCTTCTAGAATGTTCAGCACGTTCACGTAATCTAATTCCCAGGAGAAGGAGAATCCGATCAAATTAGGGTTTCTAGGGAAGGGATCGTGCGCGTCGGTGAACATGCGCGTGACGTGGATGGACGCGCGGGAGCAGAGGTAAGCCCACACTAGTTGGTACCCGAGCGAGCAGATCCCGACCGTGTATTCGTTCGGGAAGGCGTAGATGCACCTGATTGGCTCGCGCGAGGCTTCGTTACTGTCACCTCTAGTACTGAATCCATTTGTGTTGCTGTTACTGGAGATATTGTTGCTGTGAGTGGTGCTGCTGCTGCTACTACTGCTGGTGCAGGTAGGATCGCCTGAGCGACGATCGAACAGGAGAGTCTCGTCTTGAGAGAATCGGATGAGGTTCGCAATTTTTTGCTGGTGTGTCAGCGCCTGATTCGGCGGCTGCTTCTTCTCCTGCTGGCGCTGCTGCTGCTTTCCCCTCTCCCCTTGCTGTTGCTGCGACTTGCCTCCCTTCCTCGCGTTCTCTCGGTTCTTCGTGGTTCTAGCTCTAACTCTCGCCCCAAGGACCCTCCGCATTGGCTGGTCCGGTTTCCGTACGTTCTCGACCTCATTCTGGTCCGGTTTCCGTACGTTCTCGACCTCATTCCCCCAGAACGAATTCTTACATCTGCTCCCGAATGTCGCGACACTCCCAAGGCGGCCGCCTGCAGACCGAAGCGTGAGAGCACCGGAAGGCAAAGCTGCCATTTGGAAGCGCTGAGAAGGACGCAAGTATGCAAAATGGAGGAGCAGCGCTCGTGGAGTTGACAGTACCCAAATGGTTGTCTCGGGGTTGGGATTCTCAAGTTTCGGCTGGATTGGGCTGGTGGGAAGAAACTCGATACATGATTTCTCAATACTGTCGCTAACAGGCTCAACCTGGTGCTGTGCTGTGGCAGCAGTTGAACTTAATATTTCAACTAAAATAGAAAAGTCTGCAGGTTCAAACCAAACACAATAACATGAAGTGGAAGCTAAGACATTGATGCGATTTCTTCTTGCCCCAGAAAATAATAAAAATATAGGATATTTCGATTCATCATGATTTTTTACGCGTCCTGTCTTTTTTTTTGTAAGTTATGCTTATCTTTGACACAACGTTTTAAGTAGATTTGGTAGGGGTATATGTTTGATTATAGGCGAAATGGTTTGGTGAACAATGGTCATATTTCGGTATGTCGATTATTGTCACTGACAATGAACTCCAAGGCGGTCGAGATTAGCGTCTCCTGCAGCGCGCTGGTTGCAGAGCAATCTCCCTGCAGGGTTCCGTAGAAAAGTTCTAGCTGAGGCCTCGATTGTGGTCGCCTTGTTGTCGATTAGTGATGGACGATCCGTAGCGCTTTAGTCTTGCTGAAACTCAAAATGTTGGTAATAATGACGAATCGCTCGAGTCTACACACGTACCTCCTTTTCCTTTGCTCCTTCGCGATCTTCCACGCCAGCAGTCCTTTAGGAGACCTTCCGAATCCGGAATTCCGCGATGGAACACTCTCACCTGGCTACGGAATACACACGGATCCACATGTAAGTAGCGATCACGGAAGCGATCAATCCTATAATGGTCAATCTAGTCACCAGAATCACGGTACGATCAGAGAAACGGGGCTCGATAGCCAGGGGGAGAGGCGGATGAATTCAGGCATCACGGAGCAAGCGAATGAGTGGTTGACGAGAGAATGGGACGAGGAAGCGAAGCCGATGCAGCTGTTACGACCGTCGCCGAATCATGATCGGTTGGAAGTGGTTCAGTCCACTCTCGACGTGTTGGAGAGAATACAGCAGCCCGTGGCTTTCGTGGCGGTCGTCGGCCCTTACCACGGGTGAGCAATTATCATAGAAGTGCGTGGTCGTTTCCGGTAATTCTTATACGCTATAGTGAGTGGTTCAGTGTAACATGAGTTGTTCTTTCCTGCCAGGTGTCCCTCGGCCTGGTTGATAGTGCTTTCTCACAACGTATCTTCTAAGACCTCCACGTATCCTGCCATCTTGGATCCCCCAGCAATTTTTTTGCACGACATTCCACTTCTACCCCACCCATCAACAAACATTTCCCTTTCCCGTGTCCCTTCTCCACCCTCCCTCACCCTTCCCCACAAACCCCCTCTTCCCACCTTCCCCACGGCAGGGGCAAGTCGTTTCTGCTGAACGTGTTGCTCAACTCCACACGCGGCTTCCCAGTGGGCACGCGCCCAGATCCGGAAACCCTGGGCCTGTGGGTGCGCGTGGTACCCCCTAAGCGCCTGCAAGCACGTGACGGAGCGGTGGTGGTGCTGGTGGACTCGGAGGGGCTATACGGGGACGGTGCTTCACGAGCGTATGATGCCAAGCTGTTTGCTGTTGCTACACTGCTGTCTTCGCATCTAATCTACAACACCCTGCGCACTCTTGGTGAGTGGGGAACGGGGATAAGGACGGAGCGGTGGTGGTGCTGGTGGACTCGGAGGGGCTGTATGGGGAGGGAGCTTCAAGAGCATACGACGCCAAGCTGTTTGCTGTGGCTACTCTCCTGTCGTCCTACCTCATCTACAACACCCTGCGCACACTCGGTAAGGAGGTGCATCATGGCAACCAGCATCTACAAGGGAGGGGCTGGATGGGGGTTATGGTTATCGATGGCATGGCGGTACACGTGGTGTTGCCTGCTCTCCGCCTGCAAGCACAGGACAGAGCGGTGGTGGTGCTGGTGGACTTGGAGGGGCTGTATGGGGAGGGCGCTTCAATGGCGTATGATGCCAAGCTGTTCGCTGGCTACACTGCTGTCGTCGCATCTCATCTACAACACCCTGCGCACACTCGGTGAGAGGGGAGGGGGGATAGGACAACCCCCACCTGGAGGGAAGGGGCTGCATGGTATGGTATGGGGGGTCCGCGTGGACCATGGCGGCGCGGCACTGGTTGCAAGAACGCGACAGTCCGGTGGTGATGCACCTCTCTTCACCTCTCTGCACCTCTCTACCTCCCTTTACCTCTCTCTACCTCCCTGTACCTCTCTCCAGGTGTCGCACAGTCAGTGGCAGCGTTGGCGGACCTAGCAAAGCAGGCACACGTGCTCAACCTGCAGAACTGGCTGCACTCGGGGGGGGGGGGTGGGAGTGGGAGCAGTGGCAACTACCTCTCTGTAACTATCTGTACCACTCTGTACCTCTCTTTCTCCCCTTTTCCAGGTCAGTGGCAGCATTGGCGGACCTAGCAAAGCAAGCACACGTGTTCAACCTGCAGAATTGGCTGCACTCGGGGGGGGGTTTGGAGCAGTGGCAGCATCTTCAACCTCTCTTACTTAACTTCAGCTAGTACGTTTCTGTACCTGTCTATACCTCTTCCTTCCAGGTGACGCCCAGTCAGTGGCAGCATTGGCAGACCTAGCAAAGCAGGCACACGTGTTCAACCTGCAGAACTGGCTGCACTCGGGGGGGTGGGGACCTACTCATACCCATTTCTCTGACACTGGTGATACTGCTACTGCTACTGCTGCTGGTGCTGGTGCTGGTGCTGCTGGTGCTGCTGCTGCTGGTGCTGGTGCTGCTCCTTCTGCTGCTCCTGCAGCAGCAGCATCGTCCCACCTGCCTGACCCCCGGCTTCTGCTGCAGACACTCACCTTCCCTCCCCTCACCTGGGTGGTACAAGGATTCGACCTCGACCTACAGCAGCAGGAAGACTCCCCTTCACCCCACTCCACCACACCCCACTCCGCCTCCTCCCACTCCATCCCATCCCACTCTGCCGCACCGCACTCCACCACCTCATCCCACGCCTCCTCCTCCGTCTCCCCCATGGTGTACCTGCAGCGCTACCTAGCAGCACACGCTCGCACGGGTGACCAGTCCCTAGAAACCCTCTTCACACAGGGTATAGCGTGCCTCACAGTGCGCACGCCCACGGATATCAACAGGCTTCGAGAGGAGGTGGGCGGGGCGGGGCTGGGCGCTGCTGACGTGGAGCTCATGCCAGCGCTGCACCCGGGGTACCTTGCTGACGTGGCGGCGGTGCGGGGGCGCGTGATTGGGGGGCTGGAGGCGAAGGGACCGGCTGGGCAGAAATTCACAGGGGAGACTGTGGGTGAGTGAATTTTTAGGGGGAGACTGTTGGTGAGTGGGGTTTTGGGGATCCCTTTTATCGCCTTGCATCCCTTTTTCCTTTCCCTTTCCCTTCCGCTCTCCCTTTCCCTCACAGTGTTCTTAGTGGCCCATGCATTTTGTGTTTTTACACGTAATGCCATCTTCCCTTTTCCTCTTCCGTGCTCCATGCAACCAACTTCCCTCCTCATCATTACGAATGTTCTTACTGCCCGTTCACATTTTTAGCAGTGAAATTGCGCTAAATTCTTGCCTCATTTTCCACTTCCATGCTCTACCCTACTCCCCCTTATTACTCCGCCCCCCTACTCCTTCCCGCCAGCGCGCCTGCTCCCCCTGCTCGTCCACTTCGTGAACAGTGACTTCCCACTAAACGCCGAGCGCCACATACAACAAGTCATGCTGGACTTGCTGCTGGACGGCGCCTTCGCCTCCGCCGTCCACTTCTTTCGTCTGCATGCCGATGCCGCCCTCGACCGATTCACTCGAGCCACCCGCGCAGCTGCTTCGGCCAGCGCTGCTGCCACCACTGGTGCTGGTGCTGCTGTTGATGGGATTGGGTCGACTGCAGGCTCGGCTGCATCTACTGGGGACATGGGTGGGAGCGTTGAAGAGAGAAATGAATTTTCTGCTCCTCGCACTGGCGCTGAATGGGAATCGAGCAGCACTGCATGGGACTTGAGCAGCACTGCAGAGCCTGCTACAGCCGTGGCAGGGGATGGAGCTCACGCACCCACTGCTGCTGCACTGCCCTCCACGTCTCCGGCATCTCGGCTGCTCTCAGCCACATTCACAGTGGAGCGCATGGAGCAAGTCCTTTCCAAGGCAGGTCTGCCCTCTCGCTCTCTCTCATTTTTCCACTCTCTCCCACCCACCCTCCTCCGCTCTCTTCTCTTCACTTTGCCTGGCATATGCACCGCCTGACCTTTGACACCCTCCTGCTACCTTCACTCCCACTGTCTCCTGCGTTTCCCCCTTGGCAACCCGCTCCCTTTCCTGCACCCCCTTGGCAACCCGCTCCCTTTCCTGCACCCCCTTGGCAACCCGCTCCCTTTCCTGCACCCCCTTGGCAACCCGCTCCCTTTCCTGCACCCCCTTGGCAACCCGCTCCCTTTCCTGCACCCCCTTGGCAACCCGCTCCCTTTCCTGCACCCCCTTGGCAACCCGCTCCCTTTCCTGCACCCCCTTGGCAACCCGCTCCCTTTCCTGCACCCCCTTGGCAACCCGCTCCCTTTCCTGCACCCCCTTGTCTCTTCTCCTCAGAGCAAGACGCGCAGCACTACTGCATGGCGCGCGGTGTGGGCGTGCCTGCAGACCGCTCCGCCATGACATGTGGAGTCCGGCTGTTCGCCAAGCTCGACCACATCAAGCCGCACTACAGGTGGGTTGCTTGCTTGGGCTCTCAGGTAACATGTTTACTTGTTTATTTGCACCATCCCATCCCACTCTTTCCTACCCTTGCCGCCTCCTCAAATCCGCCTCCCAATGTATTCGCACCTCCAGCAACGAGCACGACGTGCATGCTGTGCGGGCAGCCCTGGCAGACATGCCCTCGTTTTCTGTCTGTTCCCTCCTCCCACCCGTATAGTTCCCCTATTATTTCCATTCTCATCCTGCCCATCTCAACTCAGGCCCACCACGAGCACAACTGCACGGCTGCATGACTTGCTGATTCCGAATTTCCATCTTTCAAATCTCCCACCCCCCACCGCGGATCCTCATCCCCTTCCGGGGTGTTATTCGCAGGTCCAGATATGAGCGCATTGTGCACATGGCACTGGCGAGCAGAAATGCCCTCGTCTAGTCTCAGTCCCCTCATCCTGCTAGCTACCTCTTATCCGGCCCTCCCCCTTTTTTTCTCAGGTCCAGCAACGAGCAGCACGACGTGCATGCGGCGCTGGAGTCTGTTCTTCTTTCTGATGAGGCAGACGAGCCTTTATCTTCTCTCTGACCCTTCTTCTCGTCCGCGTATTCCGCCCCGTATCCCTCTCTTATCCCGCCCCGCTCAATGCAGATCCAGCAATGAGCACAACGTGCACGTGGCGCTGGCAGACGAGTCTTCTGTCTTGTCTCTGACCCTTCCTCGCTGGCACTGATCCCTTTTATCCCACTCTTTTCCCGTCCTCACATTCCCATCGCACGTCCAGCAACGAGCACAACGTGCACGTGGCGCTGGCAGACGAGTCTTCTGTCTTGTCTCTGACCCTTCCTCGCTGGCACTGATCCCTTTTATCCCACTCTTTTCCCGTCCTCACATTCCCATCGCACGTCCAGCAACGAGCACAACGTGCATGTGGCACTGGCAGACGAGTTGCAGCAGGCAGCTCACGCGGCTATTGCTGCCATTCCCCGCCTCTTTTCTTGAATCTGCCCCCCATGTTCCCACACGCTTCTCAGGTCAAGCAACGAGCACAATGTGCATGTGGCGCTGGCTGCACTGGCAGACGAGTTGCAGCAGGCAGCACATGCGGCTATCGCTGCCATTCCCCTCCCACAGAGAGAGCAACTGCTGGAGCAGCAGTGCCAGGCTGTTCACACGGCAGCTGTTGACAGGTGAGCCTGTTACCATACCTGCCTATTGCCGCCATTACCGCTTACAGCAAGCAGAGCACATGTCTGTGTCTCTGCCCTCTCTGTCCCACGGAGGGAGCAGCAGTGGCAGGCTGTGTGCATGGTAGCTATTGATCAGCACTCTGGGCGGCCACATCAGCAGCCCCTTGGCTGCTGTGCCAATTTTCCCAAATTTCTGTTCAGCAATTATCCCAATTAGCCCTTTGACCATCCCCCACCATCCCGCTCCCTCACCCCTTTCACCACACCTCTTCAGGTTCACGGGCGCTCTGGGCGGCCACAGCAGCAGCCCCTTGGCTGCTGTGCCAATTTTCCCAAATTTCTGTTCAGCAATTATCCCAATTAGCCCTTTGACCATCCCCCACCATCCCGCTCCTTCACCCCTTTCACCACACCTCTTCAGGTTCACGGGCGCTCTGGGCGGCCACAGCAGCAGCCCCTTGGCTGCTGTGCCAATTTTCCCAAATTTCTGTTCAGCAATTATCCCAATTAGCCCTTTGACCATCCCCCACCTTCCCGCTCCTTCACCCCTTTCACCACACCTCTTCAGGTTCACGGGCGCTCTGGGCGGCCACAGCAGCAGCCCCTTGGCTGCTGTGCCAATTTTCCCAAATTTCTGTTCAGCAATTATCCCAATTAGCCCTTTGACCATCCCCCACCATCCCGCTCCTTCACCCCTTTCACCACACCTCTTCAGGTTCACGGGTGCTCTGGGCGGCCACAGCAGCAGCCCCTTGGCTGCTGTGCCAATTTTCCCAAATTTCTGTTCAGCAATTATCCCAATTAGCCCTTTGACCATCCCCCACCATCCCGCTCCTTCACCCCTTTCACCACACCTCTTCAGGTTCACGGGCGCTCTGGGCGGCCACAGCAGCAGCCCCTTGGCTCCCGTGGTGCGCTCCCGCCTCGATGCTGACGTGGCCAGCCACTGCTCCGCCGCCACGTCAGCAAACGATCGGCTGATCGCCGCCCTGCTGGGGAAGGGCAGGGTGGCGTACTACCGCGCGTACCATGACACGTTCCGGGCGGCATTTTTGTCCTATGCTGCTGCCCATGCTCATGCTCACTCCCACACCTCTGATGCCAACTCTGCTGATGCTGCACCTGCTGCTTCTGATGATGCTTCTGCCACTGCCACCACCAGCAAGAACAGCCCAAACACCTTCCATTCACCAACCGACGATCCTCACATCTTCTCCCACGCCCTCTTCGCCCTCCTCCCCTCCTCTACGCCCCCTCCCCCTCCTCGTTGGCTGCTCTCCCTCCACGCCAACGCCTCCCTCCTGGCTCAAGACGCCTTCTCTGCTGCAATTGCCCAGGGGGGGCTAGCGTGGGTGGTGCCGGGGCACGAGAGGTTTGATTTTTTTCTCTTCCAGGCGATACAGTGGGGAAAGCAGCGCGAGAGGGAGGTAGGGGAGGAGAATGCGCGGAGAGTGCGGGGGTACTGTGGGGAGATGAGGGGGAGGCTGGTGAGGGAGTATCGGAGGCGCGTGGGGGAGATTCAACCACTGCCAGACAACGAGGAGGTGGTTGTGGCCAAGGTGAGACTCACTATTTCAATGCCTGCCCAAAAACAGGTGTTTGTAAAGTGAGAGTGAAATGTGTGGGGAGTGCGGGGGTTCTGTGGGGAGATGATGGGGAGTTTGGTGAGGGAGTATTGGAGGCGCGTGGGGGAGATTCAACCATTGCCAGACGACAATGTGGTGGTGGCTAAGTTGAGACTCGTTTTTTTTTTAACATTTGTGCGTTAAGACGTCCGTTTTTTGTTCGGGGAAAACGGGAGGCCCTACCGAGGCGTTGTTGCCTTACGTCCGAGGTTGGGTCAGAGGGGCTAACGGTAATTCTGTTAGCAACCTCTCCCACGCACTCGGAATGCGCGTATGGTGGGAGAGAGAGCCCGCGGTCGTTGGACCGGAATACCGTTAAGTCGACACGAACGGTCGGGTATGGCGTCACTCAGAAACGGCCTCTCGTTTTCCCTGAACAAAATACGGACGTCTTGGGCGTACATATGGTCGTACGGACCGTCTTAGACTCTGTTTTACTCTCCTTCTCCACTCCTCTTCACCAAATCCCCACCACTCCATCCACCCACCCCCCTTTACCTGCCCTCCTTGCTTTCCCCCCTTGTTGCCCTTCCAGGCTCGCCATCTCGCCGCACTGGTTCTGGCCAATTACAGCGCGGCAGTGCAGCCATACCTGCCATTAGCTTCGGTGGAGGAGGTTCGGGCACAGCTGCAGGCTCGGGTGGAGGAGGCTCGGCAGCGCCTGGTGGATCGGAACACGGAGCTCATGGCAGCGCTGTGCTTCGAACCTCTCCGGGACGCTCGGGATGAACTTAACATGCAGGTTCGGATGGGGGGAGGGATTGTGGGGTTAAGGAATGTGGGAGGGAGGAGGGAGGAGGGGGGTGGTTACAGACAGAGGGCTGCTTCTGGGTTCTTTAGGTCAAGGGGGGAATATGGTGTTTTGCGTTGACTCGAAATACAACTGGGTTTTTAAAGTCGAGGGGGGTAAATGGGGTGGCTATGGACAGTGACGCTCATTTCTCTCCTCCCTGGCCCTTTGTCTGTTTCTGCCCCACTCTACCCAGTTCTCTTCTGCCCATGAATCTTTCTTCTACCCATCAGGAATGTGATAAGACCTATCACAACATCTTTCTCTCCAAATCCTGATGGTCCCTTAACTGCCTCACACCCGATCTCATTGCTTCTCTTCCTCTGTTGCCCCCCCCCTTTTCACATCAGGAGTGTGACAAGACCTATCACAACATCTTTCTCTCCAAATCCTGGTGGTACTTAACTGCCTCACACCCAATCTTGCCGTTTTTTTCTGTTGCTCTGCCCTTCTTTGTACACCAGGAGTGTGACAAGACCTACCACAACATATTCATCTCAAAGTCCTGGTGGTCCCTCAAGTGCCTCAGGCCTGGCCCGAGCCTCTTCTTCGGCTTCCGAGCCTCCGCCTTCGCTGTGGCGCTCAAGCACCTAGCCAAGGCCCAGCTTCGGTTCAAATCCGGAGCGCTCTCTACCACCCCCTCCTCTCCCCCTTCACCCACTGCTGCTACGGGTCACACTGCAAGGGACTCCCCCTCCCAAGGGGAGGCCTCCCAAGGGGAGGTAGGGAAAGGGGAGGTAGGGAAGGGGGAGGTAGGGAAAGGGGAGGTAGAACTGGTAGAGGTGGAACTGAGCGAGGCGACGAAGCACCGGGTGATATCTGCGTGGCTGCAGAGGGACCTAGCTGTTCACGCCAACACTGTCCTCACCAACTGCTGCCTGCTGCTCGCCTCCCTCGCTGTTCTCCTACTGCTGCTGCGCTCCCTGCTGCTGCGGGTGAAACGGTTGCTAGGGAGGAAGGAGAGGAGTGGAGGGCCGAAGAGGGAGGGGGGGAGTGGGGATAAAGGGGGGAGGGTTGGGGGAGGGGGGATTGGAGGGAGGGTGAAGAGTGAGGGGGATGGGAGTGGGAGTGGGAGTGGGAGTGGTGGGGTGTGGGGGTTGGGGATGGAGGGGAGAGGGGAGAGGGGAGTGAGGGGGATGGAAAGAGCGGAGAGGGGAGCAGTACTGCTGGGAGAGGGGGATGGGGCTATGGAGCAAGAGCGGGGACAGGTAACGGAGCACGGTTGCATGGGGATGGGGCAGGGGAACGTGCAGGGAGGGCGGATACTACAGCAGAGGCAGATGTAGCGCCAGGGGCAGGTGCAGCCAAGGCAGATTCAGCAGCTACAGTTGGTGGTGGTGAGTCCGCAGGAGCAGTGGCAAGGTTGCTGGCGTGGCTAGCATCGGATAGGAAGGGGGCTGTGAGGAAGAGTGGTGGGGAGGGGCACGGGCATGGGGGCATGGCGCATGGTGGTTTACCCAGCAGGTTTGCAGCTTTAGGCTCAACACGAAATGGCGGGATGGTGAACGGTGGAGTGACAGGTGGCGTGATGGAGAATGACGTGGCAACTGATGATGGGGCGGAGAATGGCCCGGTGGCCAATGGTGCGACGACCAATCAGGTGATGGCGAATGGGTGGGGTGGAATGGAGGCACCTCTCGGGCCTAGGCACGATAATTTGGCGGTATATGGCAGGGGGGCGGCACAGCACGGTGGTTGGGCGGCGCAGGACGGCGCAGCTGTTATTGCTAAACGAAGGAGTAGCTCCAGCAGTGGTGGTACTGCTAGCGATGCTGATGGGGATGGTGATGCTGATGGCGGTGGTGACAGTGACAGGATGGGGCAAGCAGCAAGAACAATGCTGGCAGCGTTATCAGCAAGAAGAGGAGGATCAGCCTCAGCACCTCTCAGAACCCTTCAGGACCGGATAAGCAGGCAACAAGACGGGCTTGGCATGGACCATTTAACTGATAAACACACCAGAGAGAACAACAATAATACCAGAGACGGCACACCTGCCCTTCCAACAACTCCTACAGGCAAAGCAGTGCCTCCCCCTGCTGCCAGCTTCCCAAACAGTGCCACCAGCAGTCCAGGCAGTGCGGGCGGCAGTGGAGGGAAGGCCAGTGGCGCGTACTACCGGGCGGCTGATGGGCAATGGCGGAGGTTCAAGTCCGTTACAAGATCATGAACTTGGTTTCTTTCACTACTAGCCTCCCAAAGTGAGTTAATCTACAATGCGCCCTGTTACCGCAGGTTGATTACTTTTAGATCTCTAAACTCTCTCGTCCCAGCCAGGCTGTTTGATCATGCGTAATATCAATTTATCAGGTGACTAGTGTACAGATTTTGTTGGCTACACGTAAGTTAGACATTGCGTTTTTCAGTTAAGAAAATACTCGGTATATTGTGCAGGGTACAACAAAACATGCATCCATGTGTTGCTTGAGACGACTTGCTTTGTACCGAGGAATTCGTCTTTCCCATACAAACGAGCCGCATCTGCAAGGAAACATACGTGGTGCAGGACTTTCGTGCAATTTATTCAGCTAATTACAGGACTTTTTTGCCGGAGAAGACCGCAAGTAGTTTCGTCCAAGACTGATTAATACGCGTGAAAGAGAGAAAGAAAAAGCAACGGCCGCGATGGTAAACGTGCGAGAGGTCGACTTAGGCAGCCGTACGATTCGGATAGTAGAACTCGAGGACGCGATCGATGCGGAGACGGGGAAGTCCGTGACGGGCGCGTGGGTGTGGGACTCGTCGCTGGTGTTCGCGGCGTGGCTCGCGCACGGGAAGACGTGGCCGGAAGGGTCGATTAAAGACCTAAGGGTGCTGGAGCTTGGCGCGGGTTTAGGAGTTGTCGGGCTCGCCGCGGCGGCTTTAGGAGCGCGCGTGCTGCTGACGGACGGCGATTTGAGAGTGATCAGCGGGATCAGGCGGAATATCGCGGAAAACGCGCTCGAGGGGAGGGCTTTTGCGGCGCAGCTGGAATGGCGGGAGGGCTTGCCGAGGCAGGTGCATCCGGGGGAGGGGTTACGTAGGAAGGCGGATTCAGGGGAGGATGCGCAATGGCGGACTTCTGGCGGTGCGGAATTGGCGGAGGCGGAAGGGGTCGGCGGGCGGCAAGAATGCGAGGATACGGGTGCTTGCGGGGACGGGGGGAGCGGAGGGGTGAAAGATGAGAGAGAGAGGGATACCGGAAGAGCTGGTAGAGGGGGCGTTGGTGTTGGTGCTGCGTCGGCTGACACTGCAGGAGCAATAAGAGCGTCAGTAAGAGCGTCAGCAAAGCAACCAGGAGCAGAAGCACCGGTAGAGGCATCACAAGAATCAAGAGCTTTGAATGGGAATGGAGGGGAAGGAAGAGTCGCCGCATCTCAGCCGTTGGATGTCGAGGAGTTCGTGAAGGATCTAGATCTGATCGTTGGATCGGACATTACGTACGACGTAGATCTGATGCCCGCCCTCTGCCGGACGATCAAGCAGCTGGCGGGCCCTCGCACTCGGGTGAGCCCTCCCGAGCTCTCAATGGTTTATCCTAAGTATCAATTCGTTGATATCAACGACATGTGAAGACAACGTATCGGCGCATGGGCTCATGTGGCTCTTCTGAGGCGCCTCAAAAGCCACATATCGTTGATATGAACAACGTGAACCCGACCTCTGCCGAACAATCAAGCAGCTGGCGGGCCCTCGCACTGTTTGTTGTCACAAAATAACTTATATGCCTCGCACTTGGGTGAGCACTTTTAGCGGTTTATCAAAATTATTGTCACATTCATATCAGCAGTATGTCATATCATATCAGAGGTGGATTGGCTTATGGGTGTTACACGAGAGGGGCGAGCCCCTCCCGTCAACGCTCTCTTAAGAACCACGGGCCAAGCACTCTCTCAGCCCTCTTCCCTCTTACCTTCCGAACTCCTTCCCCTCATCGCAACCCCCCCTTTCCCCCTCCCCCTGTCAGATATTCATGGCAGTGGAGCTCCGCTCCTCCACGCCCAAGTGTTTCCACGCCACGGCAGCGCACGGCCTCACGTGGAGGGCTGTGGAGCAGAGCCTGGGCCCCCGCTGAGTGCTTCCACGCCGCTGTCCCATGTCTGCTCCTCTCTTCCCAATCCCCCTCTTTCCCCCCTCCTTCTCTCTTCCCCCCCCCCCCCCCCCTCTCCCCGCGGCAGATATTCATAGCAGTGGAGCTGCGGCCAGCAACGCCCAAGTGTTTTCACGCCATGGCAGCGCAGGGCCTCACGTGGAGGGTTGTGGAGCAGAGCGAGCTGGACCCCCGGTGGTGCAGCGACGACATCAAGATCTTCCAGCTCTTCTCGTGATTGACTGTGTCTTCTCCCCTCGGGTAGTGGAGCAGGGTGACTTGAGGCAGGGTGACTTGAGGCAGGGTGACTTGAAGCAGGGTGACTTGAAGCAGGGCGAGCTGAAGCAGGGCGATCTGGATCCCCACTGATGCAGTTCACGACAAGATCTTTCAGTTCTTCAAGTGACTGGCAGTGTCTTTTCTCCTCAGGCAGTGGAGCAGGGCGACCTCGAACCCTGCTGGTCCAGCGATGACATCAAGATGGTCCAGTTCTTCAAATAATGTTGCGGCATTTAACCAAAGATACAAGGCGGCAAAAATCGTCCCTGACAAAACAAAAAAGAGTCGCCGCAACATGAATGTAGGTGACAGCAGCAGAGGACAGGTACTCGTACTGAATAAAGAATCTGTCTCAAATGACGACATTCCTTGATATTCAGGCGAACATGTTGGGGGTTGCACTTGCTGTGCGATCCATTTCGCTGGTCATGCAAATGTTTTTTCAAACATTAATTGTAAATAGTGTTATGTAAGGATAACCATGTGCCATGCAGGTGCTCATTTTGTGCGACTTCGTTTATATGACGCTATTGAAGTGAATGTAACACATTCAGATCGGCCAAATGTGGCGAAATTCGTTCGACATTGGCGAAACTGATTGAGATTGCCAGCGCGAATGGGCATTTGAAACTTTTTTCCCATCCCGAAACCGGCTTTTGTCAGGTAGTGCTTCCTATTGTCAGAACTCCCTGAAACCCCATAGGCCGGCATGCGATAGGGAGGATTTGGGTCAAGGCAAACTTGATGCCTCCCTCCCATCCCAAACTTGATGGCATGCCATCTGATCTGAGAGTTTTTTGCCCGCGAAAATCCGGAAAATGAGGTGGTTGGGCAGTGCCGTACATATCTCTAGACTAGACCATGGCTGGCCCAGTGGGCATACTGAAATTGGAAGGCTTTTGAACCCGCAGTATCGTACGGGAGGGGCCGTACAGATCACCGCGTCGCAATAAGTCAGGCCTCACGCATTATAGTACTTGATACGCACATCAATACATATTAGAAGAAACGATCGCCATAATTCTCTTCCGCTGATTGCTTACGTCCCACTACCTAGTATCCATTGCGCGCGCGCAACAGCAATATCGAGCCGTGTAGCGATCATCCATGCCAATGGCGGTCCGAGCGAGCCTGTCGTTCTTAGTCTTCGCGACGCTCGCGTTCACGGTCATTGCAGGCGTCGTCGAGTTATGTCCCGGCAATTTCGCAGACTTCGTCGGAAAGGAAAAAGCCGCGTTCGTCAAATTCTATGCCCCGTGGTAAGGAATGGATAAGTGAAGTGTTAGGGTTGGAGCACCCACACTTACCTACCCTTAGACTAGCCAACCGGACCATTCCCGCGTGGAGCTCGCTCCGTGGTAGGGACTGGGTCCAGCACTAGCTGTAACGCCTGTGGGGCTTACACGTAAGGGTTGAGTGCACCCGCTGCGCCTCAAATATAACCCTCGTTTTGACCCAGTGGGTAGCGAGGTGTTACACTAGCTTACCGACCTTCCAGCTCACCAACCAGACCATTCCCGCCTGGAGGTGACTCCGTATCGAACGTGATTCCCGCGACGTTTAAATGCTCGGCGCGCTGTAGAAATGGATTCAAGTAGCGGCCCATTTCCATTTTTGTTCGAAAGAATCAGGCTCTTCTCGCTGTCACCCTTCTCTTCGCGAGTTGTTTCGCCAGAAGTCTCCGCGAATCACGACGTGTCTTAGAAGCGAGACTGGCGCCACCCGTTTGCTGCTCGCGCGGCTTACAAACGGATTGCGAACGGCTTCTTTTCCCCCCTCCTGACTCGGAATGCCCGTCCTCCCCCATTCACGCTGCCTCCTTTCCCCCTCACCTCGACTTCTCCCCATCTCCCCCTCCCTCCTCTTCCCTCTTCCCCGAAAACCCCCCGCTTGCCCCCCGCTTCACCTCCGCCAGGTGCGGGCATTGCCAGAAGATGGCCCCGGACTATGACAAATTCGGGGCTGCCTTTAAAGAGACCGCATCGGTGGTTGTCGGTAAGGTGATTGTGGAATCAGATTTGATCTGATTGTGCCTGGGAGATGGGTAGCGGGCGAGCTACGAAAGAGCCAAGGAGGGGAAATGGTGCATGGAAGGATCGGAGAAAACACATGGAAGGTGCTTGGAATGTTCAGGAAAGCATATTATTCTATTTCCTTGCACAGCCTTAACCCGTCTCTCCTCCTATCCATCTTCTCTCCCACTCCCCATGTTATATCTATTCGTCTCTATGCTTCTTGCTTCCGCTGTCGCCTCATCCTGTAGGTGGACTGTGACAAACACAAGAAGCTCTGTAGCGAGTACAAAGTGAAGGGGTACCCCACGCTCAAGTGGTTTCCGAAAGGGGCCTCCTCACCTGAAGAGTAAGGAGTGAGGCGAGAGAAGGGGTTAAAGGCTTAGGATTAAGAGCCTAGGGAGGGGGGAAAGGAGGGTTGTAGAGAGGGGTGATGGAGGGCGAAGGGAGGGGTGAAGGGAAGGCAAAGGGAGGGGATTAGCGAGGGAGGGGGTGGGGCGAGGGGCATGGCATGGCATGGCTTTATCCAACCTAATCGCTTATCTTGATCCCATTGGTCGCGGGATGGTCACCACTGTCTGATGGGACATGTGAATTTACTCCGCACCTGCCAGTCAGTAGTATTGCAGCTTTTCTTCCTTCTTGTTTGTTTTCGTCCTCTTATATTTGATATTTTGTTCCTTGACACCAAACACGACTACTGGCTGGCTGGCTGGCTGGGTGGCTGGCAGCTACACAGGGGAGCGCAGTGTGGACGATCTGGTGGCCTTCACAAACGAAAAGCTTGGTGAGCGGGCTTTGAGGCCTTTCCCTTTCAAGTGCAAAGGCGTATCACTGTATCACATGAACCATAACCACCGGTAGTGGCATCTATCCATCAGAGAGCAGTATGACTTTTGAGTCGACTCAAAAGTTGACTTCTGTGTTGACTCAAAAGTCAACTCGTATCACTGTATCACATGAACCATGGCCACTGGTAGTGGCAGCGCAGTGTGGACGATCTGGTGGCATTCACGAATGAAAAGCTGGGTGAGTGAGCATGATGCTCTCTCTCTTGGAGTGTGACGGCCTGCTCATTCCCATCCATCCCATCTCATGCCCCCATCTCATGCCCATCTCATGCCCATCTCATGCCCCCATCTCATGCCCATCTCATGCCCATCTCAAGCTCACTCCATGCCCTTAAAAGAGCCCATCGCATTCGTATTCTCGGGTACGCTACGCGATGCACCTCTCAATACTCTCTTGCCCCACTCCCCGACACGGCCCACCTGCCTTTTGAGTCAACTCAAAAGTCACCTCTCAATACTCTCTTGCCCCAATCCCCGACAGGGCCCACCTGCCTCCCTGTGTCCCTCCCTGGCACCAGCATGCAGCCACCAGCGCCACCGCCATCGCATGTGGTAACCCTATCGTCAGACACCTTGACGCTGTGGTGTTCAAACCCCCCTTTCTCCTTCCGCCACCTCCTTGTGTGGCATGGGTGGCATGGCAGGCACCAGCATGCAGCCACCAGCGCCACCGCCATCGCATGTGGTAACCCTATCGTCAGACACCTTTGACGCTGTGGTGTTCAAACCCCCCTTTCTCCTTCCGCCACCTCCTTGTGTGGCATGGCAGGCACCAGCGTGCAGCCACCAGCGCCAGCGCCATCGCACGTGGTAACCCTATCGCCAGACACCTTTGACGCTGTGGTGATGGATCCCACCAAGTTCGTGCTCGTGGAGTTCTACGCTCCCTGGTGAGAGGGGAGAGCCTTTCCAGGTGGTTTCCAGGTGGTTTCCAGGTAGTTTCCAGGTGGTTTTTGTTCTGGTGGTGCTGAATCTCACCAAGTTCGTGCTTGTAGAGTTCTACGTGCAATGGTGAGAAACACAAAGTGCTGGCCTTTTCAACTGCTTTTTCAGTCCCTTTGGGTGCTTCTCCAATGCTTTCCGACTGCTTTCTTAGTGCCTTTTTTATCGTTTTTTTTTTTTTTTTTTTTTTTACCTCTTTTTGGGTACCTTTCCAATACCTTTGGTGCCTTTTCTTAGCCGATTCGTGTGCTAATGCTGCTTCCTCTGTGCATGCCTATGTGTATTTTGCATGCGTATTTTGCTTGTGTATTGTATTTAAATCAACTTACCAATCTGGTGTTCTCGAATTTGTGCTTGCCCCTCCCTCCCTCCCTCTGCACCTGCATTTCCCTTCAGGTGCTCGTTTTGTCAAGACCTCGCTCCGGTAATTTCGCTGCTCCCTTGCCCAAAACCCCACTCGCTCCTTCCAATTTCGTTCAATCTCATTCGTTCCAACAAAATGGATTTCCAAGAAAGAAAGAAAGAAAGAAAGAAAGAAAGAAAGAAAGAAAGAAAGAAAGGGGAAACCCCCCCCCCCCCCCCCCACCCCCACACACACACACAACAACAACAACCCTGTGACAGCATAGCATACCATCTTCTTCCTCTCCTCCTCTTCTCTCTTTCTCCTTAAGGTTTCTCATTGCTCCATCTCCTTCGTTTCCCTCTCGCTCCTGTCTTTCATCGCTCGCTGTCCTTTCACCTTTTCCTCTATTCCCTCCCTCTTTCCTTCCTCTTCCCTCTCCCAACCCCATTCTTCCCTCCTTGCTTTCCCTCCCCGCCGTTTCTCCTCCACCAGGCGTACGAGCAGTTGGGGAGGGCGTTCAGAGACGAAGAGAAAGTGGTGATTGCAAAGCTGGACGCGAGCAAGCACAGGGAGCTCAAGGAGAAGTGAGTGGCCACGTGGTGATGGCGAGATGTGCTGATGGGCTTACTATAGTAACGGGTGGTTATAGTAACGGGTGCTTATAGTAACGGGTGCTTATAGTATGAGAGAGGAGACTCAAAGAGAAAGTGATGATCGCAAAGCTGGACGCGAGCAGACACAGGGAGCTCAAAGAGAAGTGAGTGTTGTTGCGGTGATATGGGTTGTGCTTATAATGAAAGGTGCTACTAGTGAGATGTGACTGTGCATACTAGAGGTGCTGATGGGGGTGTGCATGTGAGCGAGCATGTGAGCGTGCATGTGTGAGTGAGTATGTGAATGTGAATGGGAATGTGCATGTGCATAAGTATGAATGTCATAAGTGCATGTCTGGGTTGGTCATCCAAGCATGAAGTGGCTGTAATGTGAGGCGCCTCAGAATCTTTGCATCCTGTTGTTATCCATTCCCTTGTCTTTTATTGTGTCTGCATTCCTTACCCACTGCAGGTACGGTACAGCATAACGGGTTACCCAATCATCAAGTGGTTCTCTTTGAGCCGCTTCGAAATGTCTGCATCCCTTCTTTTCTATCTGCCTTTTCCACCCACTGCAGGTACAGCATAACGGGTTACCCGACCATCAAGTGGTTCCCTCCGTCCAACAAGCAGGGCGAGGACTACGAGGGCGCGTGGGAGCTGAGAGGCTTGCTGGCGTTTGTGAACAAGGAGGCTGGCACGCACAGGACCAACATGGGGATGCTCTCTGACATGGTGAGCTGAGCTGGTTGTGGAAGCACAAGCGCAAGATGACGGCACGCGGAGCTCATAGACAGACCTAGGGCGAGAGGTATGAGGGCGCGTGGGAGCTGAGGGACCTGCTGGCGTTTGTGAACAAGGAGGCGTGGACACACAGAACCAACATGGGGATGCTCTCTGACATGGTCAGCTCAAAGTGATGTGTGCGCCGCGCGCTCGCGCGTGCACACACACACAGCCACCACCAGGGAACTCTCTGTTATGGTGAGATGGTGGTGAGCTGCTGGCACAGAGCTGCGGGCACAGGGCAGTTGCGTCTGTGTGCGTCCCCATTGGCGGCCCCCCACCCCCACCCCCACCAATGGGGGCCAATGGGGACGCACAGACATTTATGAGCTGGCAGGTCGCCCTGCTGCAGATCCGTTCGAGAAGCTTCTTCGCAGGTTCATTGAGGCTGGCGTGTGTGCGTGTGTGTGCCTGCCGAGGCCCCTCACTCCGCCGCTCGTTCCTCTCCTTTTCCCCCATCCATCCACACACGTGTGAGCAGGCAACTCGCATAGCAGCATTGGACGAGCTGGCGCGGGGGTTTGTTAAGAAAGGCCCCTGAACGCCCGTATTCCACCACTCCCTCCCTTCCTCCCTCCCACTGCCACTGCGTGTCAGAAGTGGGGCCGCATTGCAGCATTGGCTGAGCTGAGCTGGCTCGCGGGTTCATTAACAACACTCTGAAAGCCTTCATTCTGCGACTCCCTCCACTCCACACCCCCCTCCACCCCCCCCCATCTTCCCGCTACTCCTGTGCAGGCGGGACGCATTGCAGCTTTGGACGAGCTGGCTCGCGGGTTCATTGCAGCGAGCAAGGAGGAGAGAGAGGCGCGGGTGGGCAAGGCGGAGAGGGTGACAGTGAGCGAGGAGGAGAGCAAGTGAGCGGGGAGGAGAGCAAGTGAGCGGGGAGGAGAGCAAGTGAGCGGGGAGGAGAGCAAGTGAGCGGGGAGGAGAGCAAGTGAGCGGGGAGGAGAGCAAGTGAGCGGGGAGGAGAGCAAGTGAGCGGGGAGGAGAGCAAGTGAGCGGGGAGGAGAGCAAGTGAGCGGGGAGGAGAGCAAGTGAGCGGGGAGGAGAGCAAGTGAGCGGGGAGGAGAGCAAGTGAGCGGGGAGGAGAGCAAGTGAGCGGGGAGGAGAGCAAGTGAGCGGGGAGGAGAGCAAGTGAGCGGGGAGGAGAGCAAGTGAGCGGGGAGGAGAGCAAGTGAGCGGGGAGGAGAGCAAGTGAGCGGGGAGGAGAGCAAGTGAGCGGGGAGGAGAGCAAGTGAGCGGGGAGGAGAGCAAGTGAGCGGGGAGGAGAGCAAGTGAGCGGGGAGGAGAGCAAGTGAGCGGGGAGGAGAGCAAGTGAGCGGGGAGGAGAGCAAGTGAGCGGGGAGGAGAGCAAGTGAGCGGGGAGGAGAGCAAGTGAGCGGGGAGGAGAGCAAGTGAGCGGGGAGGAGAGCAAGTGAGCGGGGAGGAGAGCAAGTGAGCGGGGAGGAGAGCAAGTGAGCGGGGAGGAGAGCAAGTGAGCGGGGAGGAGAGCAAGTGAGCGGGGAGGAGAGCAAGTGAGCGGGGAGGAGAGCAAGTGAGCGGGGAGGAGAGCAAGTGAGCGGGGAGGAGAGCAAGTGAGCGGGGAGGAGAGCAAGTGAGCGGGGAGGAGAGCAAGTGAGCGGGGAGGAGAGCAAGTGAGCGGGGAGGAGAGCAAGTGAGCGGGGAGGAGAGCAAGTGAGCGGGGAGGAGAGCAAGTGAGCGGGGAGGAGAGCAAGTGAGCGGGGAGGAGAGCAAGTGAGCGGGGAGGAGAGCAAGTGAGCGGGGAGGAGAGCAAGTGAGCGGGGAGGAGAGCAAGTGAGCGGGGAGGAGAGCAAGTGAGCGGGGAGGAGAGCAAGTGAGCGGGGAGGAGAGCAAGTGAGCGGGGAGGAGAGCAAGTGAGCGGGGAGGAGAGCAAGTGAGCGGGGAGGAGAGCAAGTGAGCGGGGAGGAGAGCAAGTGAGCGGGGAGGAGAGCAAGTGAGCGGGGAGGAGAGCAAGTGAGCGGGGAGGAGAGCAAGTGAGCGGGGAGGAGAGCAAGTGAGCGGGGAGGAGAGCAAGTGAGCGGGGAGGAGAGCAAGTGAGCGGGGAGGAGAGCAAGTGAGCGGGGAGGAGAGCAAGTGAGCGGGGAGGAGAGCAAGTGAGCGGGGAGGAGAGCAAGTGAGCGGGGAGGAGAGCAAGTGAGCGGGGAGGAGAGCAAGTGAGCGGGGAGGAGAGCAAGTGAGCGGGGAGGAGAGCAAGTGAGCGGGGAGGAGAGCAAGTGAGCGGGGAGGAGAGCAAGTGAGCGGGGAGGAGAGCAAGTGAGCGGGGAGGAGAGCAAGTGAGCGGGGAGGAGAGCAAGTGAGCGGGGAGGAGAGCAAGTGAGCGGGGAGGAGAGCAAGTGAGCGGGGAGGAGAGCAAGTGAGCGGGGAGGAGAGCAAGTGAGCGGGGAGGAGAGCAAGTGAGCGGGGAGGAGAGCAAGTGAGCGGGGAGGAGAGCAAGTGAGCGGGGAGGAGAGCAAGTGAGCGGGGAGGAGAGCAAGTGAGCGGGGAGGAGAGCAAGTGAGCGGGGAGGAGAGCAAGTGAGCGGGGAGGAGAGCAAGTGAGCGGGGAGGAGAGCAAGTGAGCGGGGAGGAGAGCAAGTGAGCGGGGAGGAGAGCAAGTGAGCGGGGAGGAGAGCAAGTGAGCGGGGAGGAGAGCAAGTGAGCGGGGAGGAGAGCAAGTGAGCGGGGAGGAGAGCAAGTGAGCGGGGAGGAGAGCAAGTGAGCGGGGAGGAGAGCAAGTGAGCGGGGAGGAGAGCAAGTGAGCGGGGAGGAGAGCAAGTGAGCGGGGAGGAGAGCAAGTGAGCGGGGAGGAGAGCAAGTGAGCGGGGAGGAGAGCAAGTGAGCGGGGAGGAGAGCAAGTGAGCGGGGAGGAGAGCAAGTGAGCGGGGAGGAGAGCAAGTGAGCGGGGAGGAGAGCAAGTGAGCGGGGAGGAGAGCAAGTGAGCGGGGAGGAGAGCAAGTGAGCGGGGAGGAGAGCAAGTGAGCGGGGAGGAGAGCAAGTGAGCGGGGAGGAGAGCAAGTGAGCGGGGAGGAGAGCAAGTGAGCGGGGAGGAGAGCAAGTGAGCGGGGAGGAGAGCAAGTGAGCGGGGAGGAGAGCAAGTGAGCGGGGAGGAGAGCAAGTGAGCGGGGAGGAGAGCAAGTGAGCGGGGAGGAGAGCAAGTGAGCGGGGAGGAGAGCAAGTGAGCGGGGAGGAGAGCAAGTGAGCGGGGAGGAGAGCAAGTGAGCGGGGAGGAGAGCAAGTGAGCGGGGAGGAGAGCAAGTGAGCGGGGAGGAGAGCAAGTGAGCGGGGAGGAGAGCAAGTGAGCGGGGAGGAGAGCAAGTGAGCGGGGAGGGGGGAGAGTGCAGTGTGGGATAGAACCGATAAGTGCAGGGTGGGGATCGGTTTTATTGCAGCGAGCAAGGAGGAGAGGGAGGCGCAGGTGGTCAAGGCGGAGAATGTGACAGTGAGTGAGGAGGAGAGCAAGTGAGCGGAGGGAGAGGGAGAGGAGGAGGGCAGGTAAGCTATGTTGCAATATACGCGTCTGGCGTACCACACGCGTTCGTACTATACGCCCACGTACACACGTTGTACGTTGGATTTCATGCCTTCGGATATGCTCAAAATACGGTGGCCCGGGCAGGGTAAAAAATGTTCCAGGCAGGGGAAAAAAGTATCAGGGAGTGAGTGATGGTCCCTATATTCAATGTTTCTTGCCGATCTGCGCGGATCTGCTGGCGGAATACTAAATTCGCGCGGATCTGGCGGCGGAATGCCTGATCTGCGCATCTCTGACTACTTGCGTCCAGCTGCGACATTAGCGGTCGACATAGCTTTTCGAAACTATGTACAGTAGAATAAAATAGGCGTGAGACACCCCTTGCTGTGGTACGCACACACACCGACGTGAAAGCTGAAGTGTGGTTCGAAGGGAAGGGTTGGGTTTGGGAGGTGGTGTGAGGTTATGTGCGGTGGAAGGGGGATTTGTGTGTGGGGGAAGACTTTCGACTTTCAAATGTCAAAATTAGGTTACGGAGAATCGCGAGAACGGTTGCATCATTCTTTTTTTTCGGCGGGCTGCCCGTCCAGCCGTACCGCGTATTTGTCCCCGTATCACGTTTTTCCGTTTATACGTGAACGCATAAACATGATACGAAAAAAGGCCTAAGCGTTTTTTCCAACATAGCAGGTAAGTGAGGAGGGAGAGGAGGAGATTTAGTTCGATATGAGGCAGGTAGGTGCATCAGAGGGACAGGCTATAGGGGCAGAGGAGGAGGAGAGGGAGGAGCAATTGGCGAAGGTGGAGAGGATTCAGAATGTGAGTGGGGAGGGAGGCAGTGCGGTGTGGATAGGTTCAGAATGGGGAGAGGGTGTATTGGGGTGGGCGAGGAGGAGAGAGAGGAGAGGGTGGCAGAGAGCTAGGAGGAGAGCAAGTGAGCGAGGAGGAGGGGGGGGTGGTAAGGAAGGGGGGTTAAAGGGCTAAAGGGATTGAAACTATAATGGTTAAAATTGCATGTCTGTACCTCCTCTGAATCAATACAACGGACCGTTTGAAATGATTTTGGTACCCCGCTTTAGATGTATTCACTTGACTGAAAAGGAGGAGAGGAAGGTGTGGGTGGGGAAGTGGCATGTTCGCCTGGCTTGTTGCCTCATGCAGCATATGTGCTCTGACTTAACCATTTCCCTGCTTTTGAGAATTCTCAAAAACCAGCATACGATTTTTAGGCGCCTACAAAATGGGTGATGCGGCAGGCATGTGCGCATGGCATGTTGGCTCATGCAGTATGCATGCGTACCCTGTCTGTCTTTTGAGCTGACTTTTGAGTCGACTCAAAAGTCACGCGGTATGCGTGCTGTGTCTTTTGAGAATTCTCAAAAACCAGCTCTCAGTTGGTGCCATATCCCTGCTCTCAGTTGGTCTGGCAGGCAGGCAGGCAGGCAAGCATGTACATTACGGCGATGAAGAAAATCATAGAGAAGGGAGAGCAGCACGTGGAGGACGAGCTCAACCGCGTGGGGAGAATGCTGCTGGGGGTGAGTCTCAACTAACCAGCCAGCTTTTCAGTAAAAAATCAAAAGCAACTCCCAACGAATTATAGTGAAGGGGGCGAGCACCATGTGGGGGACGAGCTTAACCGCGTGGGCAGAAAGCTGCTCGGGGTGAGTTGAAGCAACCAGCGTGTGAACTGAAACATGTGTTCTTTAGTTGAACTGGCTCAATTGGAATGGAGAAGGGCGAGCGGGATGTGGAGGATGAAGTGGTTGAACTGCCTGGAGAGAATGCTGCTGGGGGTGAGCCCAACCAACCAGCATAAGAAGGACGCTGAAAGAACCTGGGGGTGATCCTGCATGCACTGCAGGGTCATGCAGGCACTGCAGGGTCATGCATGCACTGCAGGGTCATGCAGGCACTGCAGGGTCATGCATGCACTGCAGGGCCGTGCATGGCCCGCCCCACCCATGTGTAAGCTTCTCTTCTCGCTGTGTGCCGTGCTCCCATTCTCGCTTGCTGCAATAGGACAACGACCTCAGCTCACCATGCAACAAACAACTTCTCCATATAAAAACCGCGGGAAAGTAAGCGTGTTTTGAGACGTCTCAGGACAACGTCCTCAGCTCACCATGCATGTGATAAAGGTGAATTTCTGAGACGTCTCTAAATGTCACGTCTATCACCTTGAAGCAATAGGAGAAGGCCCTCCATCCCTCACCATGCGCTCAACACCCTCCATCCCTCACCATGCGCTCAACACCCTCCATCCCTCACCATGCGCTCAACACCCTCCATCCCTCACCATGCGCTCAACACCCTCCATCCCTCACCATGCGCTCAACACCCTCCATCCCTCACCATGCGCTCAACACCCTCCATCCCTCACCATGCGCTCAACACCCTCCATCCCTCACCATGCGCTCAACACCCTCCATCCCTCACCATGCGCTCAACACCCTCCATCCCTCACCATGCGCTCAACACCCTCCATCCCTCACCATGCGCTCAACACCCTCCATCCCTCACCATGCGCTCAACACCCTCCATCCCTCACCATGCGCTCAACACCCTCCATCCCTCACCATGCGCTCAACACCCTCCATCCCTCACCATGCGCTCAACACCCTCCATCCCTCACCATGCGCTCAACACCCTCCATCCCTCACCATGCGCTCAACACCCTCCATCCCTCACCATGCGCTCAACACCCTCCATCCCTCACCATGCGCTCAACACCCTCCATCCCTCACCATGCGCTCAACACCCTCCATCCCTCACCATGCGCTCAACACCCTCCATCCCTCACCATGCGCTCAACACCCTCCATCCCTCACCATGCGCTCAACACCCTCCATCCCTCACCATGCGCTCAACACCCTCCATCCCTCACCATGCGCTCAACACCCTCCATCCCTCACCATGCGCTCAACACCCTCCATCCCTCACCATGCGCTCAACACCCTCCATCCCTCACCATGCGCTCAACACCCTCCATCCCTCACCATGCGCTCAACACCCTCCATCCCTCACCATGCGCTCAACACCCTCCATCCCTCACCATGCGCTCAACACCCTCCATCCCTCACCATGCGCTCAACACCCTCCATCCCTCACCATGCGCTCAACACCCTCCATCCCTCACCATGCGCTCAACACCCTCCATCCCTCACCATGCGCTCAACACCCTCCATCCCTCACCATGCGCTCAACACCCTCACGTTCCTGTCCACTCTCTCCTCCCCTCCATCCCTCTACATCTATGCTGAGATTGCATTTTGTGTTCCCATGCGTGCAGTGCGGGTGCATGCGCTCCCACGGGACAGGCCCTTGAGCTTCACTATCCATGAAAGACACACACACACTCACACACACGCACGCACGCATGCCCCCCCCCCCCCCCCCCTCCCCAACACACACACACATTCTTAAGCATTTCTTTGGCGTTTCCTCCCTCACCTCTGCAGTGAGACCATCGGATTGCATGCCATTTTGTAGGCGCCTCAAAAATCAGCATTCCCTTGTGTTTCTTTCTGCTCCTCTGCAATGTGACCATTGGATTGCCATGCCAGGCTCGCATGTGTGAGCATGGCACGGCCAAGTCAATGGAACAAGGCCCTGAGCTTCACTAACCACGGAAGACCCACCACACATGCTTCAACATTCCCTTGTGTTTCCTCTTTCTGCTTGTCTGCATTGTGACCATTGGATTGTGTGCCATGCTCGCACTCGTGCAGGCAGTATCCCCCATCAGTGCCAAGGGAGAAGAAAAGGCAGTATCTGCAAAAGACCCACACACACTCCTGACCGGTCCCTTGTGTTTCTTTTTCCTTTTCCTGGCCCACATACGCTCCTGACCCACACATGCTGTACTGTGGCTGTTGCATTGCGTGCTGTGCTCGCACGTGTGTATGCAGTCACTGGCAAGGGACAAGGCCCTGAGCTTCATCATAAAAATGAACATCCTCGCAGCCTTCTTGGAGCTTGAAGGACCAGACAGCAGTGAGGGCAAGGGAGACTTTGATATGAAGATTGAGCTACCTAAGAAGTTTACATATGGGAAAGTGTAGGCAGGTTTGGGGCAGGTAGTCTGCAGCACTACTGGTGCCCATCTCAATATTCGGACAAGACACATTTGGGCCACCGTGAACAGTAATAAAGGAAAACAAGGAAAACGACAAGGAAAGCATTAGCATCACAAGGTTGTGTCAACTGAGCGTTTTAGACAGCAGTGTTTTCAGAAACATACTGGTACCAAATCCCAACATCTAAACCGATGTCACATTTGTTCCTATCCTAAGGGCGTGACAAGGCCTAACTACTGCAGGATTTAGGGTACCGGTGGCAAGCACCATTGCACAAACATTTCAGGACAAACTTTGCAGTTGTTCCGCTGGCAGGCACCTATCTCTAGCGCATTTCTACCAGTTTACACACAGGTCCCTAACCCCAACCGAACAAAAACTCAGAAAGTGATGTGCACTACACTACATGACCTGTCAACTGGGGGATTCACATCACATTCGCTTCAAACCTCCCTACCTCCCTCCCTCCCTACCTCACTACAGGGTAGTGTTAACAGCAGAACAGTGGTAAGCTACAAGGACGAGAGTACTCAAGAAGAAGATAGACATGCAATCCCGTACGTATGGCATCTCACCACCACAACAAATATCATGGAAGGGTTACAGGAGGATCATGCAAATGAGAGTGGATAAGGGCAACGGAGACTGGATGAGAAGGAAAGTGGGGAGGACAGGGAAGGGCCAGAGAATTGGCAGGGGATGAAAAGAGGGGGAATTGGGAGGGGAAAGGGGGGAGGTTTGAGGTGCAAGGGGGATACGGTAAACGGCGAAGGGAGGCGAGTGCGGCGGAGAAAAAAGGGTCGACAGGGGAAGGTGGGAAGGGAGTGGGAGTGGAGAAAGGGAAGGCACGAGGGCAGGGGTATTGGGGCTGTTCCGGCAAACAGCACTGCCTCAGCTAGGCTCGGACCAAGCAACCACCTCTTCTTCCCTTGGTCCCCTCCGTCTGTCCGTGCATGTCCGCCCGTCCGTTTGTGAATGTCGGTCGGTACCGTACGGAACCGTATCGTACCGTACCGTTTCTCAATCAGTGCGAGACTTGCGAGAGGAGCTCGGCCTTGTATGCATCCATCAGTTCTTCCTGTCCTTCCTTCCATCCATCCATCCGTCAAAGCGCCGTGAGTGACGCCGTTGTGACACCGCTGTGACACCGTCGTTACACCGTTGTTTCACCGTCAGTGCCGGCTGTCGGTGTGATCTGTAACAGTGAGCGCAACAATAAACGGGACAGGTCGCCCTGCAGTGCAGTCAGTAAACAAGGCAAGTTGCTCTCTCGCTCCGTCCCTTGCTTATCCCACGCCTTACTGAATCTCTCCATCTCTCCGCCTCTCTCACACTCCAAATCACTGCCCCTGACCAATCTTCCTCGCTTTTAAGGCTAACCTCGAGGCTCAACATACCATACATACCATGCCGGTACGAGGGATGCACCGAAATACAAAGAGGCAGGCAGGCAGGCAGAAACAGGCAAGGGAAGGCTGCTGAACAAGAAGAGATCCAGGCGAGAGTCTACAATCAAAGAAAAAGCGCAAGGACCACTAGAGCGAGTGACAGCAGGCACGATAACAGGCAACACGTAAAACCCCCTATGCATGCTGCAAGCTGCAACCCAGTCCATTGAAAAAAGACAGCAGCATGCATCATGTAAGGCATGCCTTTACACGAAGACACACATACCGTACACACGCACTGCACTCTTTTTACCTTTTTTTTTTTTACCTAAGAACAACAAAATCTCAAATAATCGCAAAAAGACAGTATGCCCCTACACGAAGACAGATATCCCTTAAGCACGCACTGCACTGCACATACCGACAACCTTCAACAACCTGCAAAACGGCAGCAAACGGCATGAAACCCACGAACGAAGCGACACGACAACATACCATTCAACGCAGCACCACAGTAACGACCAGACCAGAATCTTACCTCACCTTCACTCATCCGCAATTGACTCTCATACTCACCCCATCAACACAGTTCCGCGAACTGATGTGAATTTTGAGTTCACTGAACCATAAGGCACCAAGCACAACAGCACACACTGACAACGACAACCATCTCACATTCATCAGCACTTGACTGCCTGACACTCACTCACCCCCTAAATACGGTTCGTACCGCGAGCGGAGGTGGTTTTTTATTCGACTAAAAAAGACGCCAGGCGAAACAGCACCTGACGGACGGCTAACATCTCACATTCATTCATCGGCACTAGACTGACTGATACTCACCCCATCAATACGGCCGGTACCGTGAGCGCCCCCCACCATCCCCATTCCGCCCCTCTCCTCCCCCCCTCTCATAATCCCTCTCCCTCCCCTCATCTCTGTACCCATAACCACCCCCATACCCGCCCCCATATCCCCCTCCTCCCCCTCCCCCCCCTCCACCACCACCACCATACCCACCACCATACCCACCCCCATACCCCCCACCACCACCTCCTCCTCCCCCTCCCCCACCCCCTCCTCCCCCGCCCCCGCCTCTCCGCCCATCCCCTCCCCTTCCCCCCGCGAGCAGGGGCGGGCGGGGCTGCGCCATGCGGATCTCGTGGAGGGGCGAGCCCTTGATCATGCGCTGGCTGCGCGCGCACGCGCTGTCCGCCGCCGCGAATGAGTTGAACCGCACGTAGCAGAAGCCCCTGCGCGCGCCTGAGGCCCTGTCCTTGGGGAAATACACGTCCTCTACCGTGCCGTACCTGTTTAGAGGGACGAAACGGGCGGGGAGGAAGGAGCAAACAGTGGGGGGAGAAGTGGGGCGGGTGCAGCACAGGAGTTGAAAGCGGTTGAACGGAGTTGAGTGTTGAACAGGGGCCTGCGCCATGCGGATCTCGTGGAGGGGCGAGCCCTTGATCATGCGCTGGCTGCGCGCGCAAGCGCTGTCCGCCGCCGCGAACGAGTTGAACCGCACGTAGCAGAACCCGCGCCGAGAGCCTGAGGCTCTATCTTTGGGAAAATACACGTCCTCTACCGTGCCGTACCTGATTTCAAATGACAAACCGCGGGAGAGAGGAAAAGAGGGGGGGGGAGGGGGGGGGGAGGAGGGGAGGAGGGGGAGGAGTGGAGGGGGGGGGGGGGGGGGGGGGGGGGGGGAGGGGTGTTGGGGGAGGAGGGAGTTGGGAGTTGGGAAGGGAGGGGGGAGCAGCGCGAAGGAGTTGAAGCGCACGTGGCACAAACGCGCACCCGACGCCCTGTCCTTGCGAATCTACGCGTCCTCTACCGTGCGCTCATTCGCGTCCTGTTTAGCTCACCAATCCTCTCCGCCACAACATAAATGGACAGACAATCAAGCCTGCTTATAACGCGCCTCACGAACAGACGTGGACCAACAAAACCAGCGGCTCTCTTACTGTTCAAAGTGTTCCTTCAAGTCTTGCTCGCTGATCTCCTCGACCTGATTGGAGAAACAGTCAAGCCTCCTTCGAAGGCACTCACAAACAGACGTGGACAAACTATCAACGAGTCAACGGCTCTCTTACTGTTCAAAGTGTTCCTTCACGTCCTGCTCGCTGATCTCCTCCGCCACGCCCCCCACAAAGATCCGAAACTCGTCCTCAAACCCTCCCCCTCCCCCTCCCCCTCCGCCTCCTCCTCCGCCTCCTCCGCCTCCTCCGCTCCGCCCATACCCCTCCATAGCATTCGACAGTATATACCCGCCTCCATATCCCGAACCTAGTCCGGCACCATAGCCGCCAGACGAGACTAGAGGAGTCACGGAGTAGTAATCCAAGCCTGCCGAACCTAGAGAGGCTCGGGGTGCTGCTGCTGCTGCCATGGCTAGGGAAGACGGAGGGTAGGCTCGGTGGGAGGGTCGGTCGTCGTTGTAGGCTCGGCGGCGGGACGACTGCTCCGGTCCTCGAGGCTCGGCTTTGGTTATGGGGATGGTCACGCCGCAGATCTCGTAAGAGTCATTTTCCACCTGAAAGGGACGGGGACGGGGGTTATGTGCATGAGCATTAACGACTATTGTTTCTGTTCTTCGGCATGCGCAGCTGCGTATTCGTTAAAGGCATTTTCCACCTGAAAGGGGAGTACGAGCATGCGCATTCAACGAGAAGTTGTTATTTTAATCTACGCATGAGCAGCCGATTGAATATAGGCATGAGCAGCCAGCGATATCGTAAGAGTCGTTTTCCATCTGAAAGGGGAGTACGTGCATGCGCATTTTAACGAAAACTTTCTTCCTGAATCCAGGCAAGAGCACAAAACTTGCTTCCTATATCCAGGCAAAAGCAGCCGGAGATCTCGTAAGAGTCATTCTTCGCCTGAGAAGGCTTTACGGGCACGAGCATTAGCGATTGCCCTATTCTTGTTATCACTATCTCCTCGTCTTGTCATCACTGTCTCCTAAATTTGTTATCACTAACATTAGTAACGGTGGAGGATCAAGACGGTGGAGGATCAAGACGGTGGTACAATGCTCCGTCGTTTGACGACGTCCATTTCCGCAGATTGTTCCTACACCAAGGCTTTGACGATAACGACGAGAAATCGAAATCGAATCGCGAACCGCAATAAGAGCAACTGAACGCCTTATATCGTGGCTTTGACAGAGATTTTCCGTACCGCGGCTTTGACGGGAACGAGGAAAAAGAGAAAGAGATTCTCCGTACCGCGGCTTTGACGGCGTCCTCTTCTTCGAACGAGATGAACGCGATGCCTTTCAACGTGCCGGTGAACGGATCGCGCGGCACGTAAACGTCGATCACGGTCCCGAACTTCTCGAAGAAGCTTCGCAGAACATCCTCTTTATGCTCCTCCGATATCCCCGCTCGCAAAAACACGCGATAGCGATGCGACGGCATAGCGGGCTCTGAATAAAAGCTCTTGCTGCTCACAGCCTGTAAATGAAAACCCTAAATTGTCAAACACCCTAGCAATAGGAGTCGCAACACTCAACAGATGTGGGAGGGAAGCGAGCGAGCCGCAAGCTACTGTAATGCTGAAGAACTTCTGGTCTGGTAAGCCATCCGCGTTATCAATCCAACGGCTGATATCTACCGAGAGCAACGATGTGGCGCAACAGAACCCCAACAATGGACTGTAACTTACAATTAAAACTGGAGATTCAGCACTAGACATGTCTAGCACAATCCTTTGGCACCTACCGGTAATATATTGAAGTAACAGCATCTTCCCCCTTGATCTATGATCATGCTTTCAACAATAAACTTTCTCCCCTGAAGTACCTGAAACACCTTCAACTGACCGGCCCATTCATGAATAAGTTCCTGGGAAAAGAGTTCAGTGTGAGGGCAGATTTCTGTGCTGCCACAGTATAACAGAAGCAGAAATAGAGGTTCTGATACCGTATTTCTCTTCTGGGGGTGAACAACATATACCTAACATCGATGGTACAAACTTTTCTGTAGGTGCTATGCTATCCATCTAAGGTTCCCTAACAAACAATGGTGATATTGCATGGTTCTACCCTGAGTCGCAATGCCATTTGTGTGCACCCTGTTCTTTGGGTGCGTATAGGACTAGATGTCCCTCTTTTATCCTTCTTTTTGCTGTGTCTGAGGCCTCAGCTCACAGGAATCGCCACCTTGAGCCCATTGTAGCAGTCCGTCCCTACTCTGCTCCCAAAATACAGAGTCTTGCCTCGTTCAGCCCTCCTCACCAAATACACATCCATGCCCACTTTTCTTGGAGGACCCAAGGGATCTGCACTGTAGAAGTTGCATGTATCAAAGCTATCTTTATCCGGGAATTGCTGCACATCTCGCTCCGCATTCATCCACCTGAAAACTGAGGGACGGAAGCGTGAAAATGATAGGTGTGGAAATGGGTTGCACCTTGGGGAGGGTTGTGAAAACTGGTATTGGAAGGAGGGTAGCACGAGAGGAAGGCATGCAATTCTGTTATAGAGGCAGGGAGGGTTGCAAGCGTCAGATGTAGCGGCGGGGTGAGTGGATGCACTCGCGATTGCATTGAAAACAATATGACTGCGAACAAGGCGCTTGCAAACTAAACTCATGGGCATGGCCTCTCTGTGAGTTTTGCATGAACATGAACTTAGTAATTTATCATATGAGCTGGCCGGGTTAACGGTTGTAGGGCACTTACGAAGGAATGTGCCGGGCCTCACGACTGGTGGAGTCCACTTGTCAACGCCAAGGCTCCACGGGTTCACACTGGAACGCCCCTTTTCCAACCCCACCGGCACCACTGCCTGTGGGGTCGGGGACGTTGAGAGTGGTGCGCAAGGTGAGATGGGATAGAGAAGTTTCAGCAGAGCAAGCTGTTACGGAACGAAAAAGAGAAAAAAAACACTCCCGCCTCAGCATTGTGAAGAAACGAACGGAGCGAGGCAATTGTTTACAGTTGCTACTACCGTTGTAGCTATTACTTAGAGGGCGTGAAATCGTCTGTATGATGAGTGAATGTCTGATCTGCCCACAAGAGTGCGGACTTTCAAACCAGGGTGTCATGTGCTAAAAATGATTTGCCTTTGGTTAATGTGCCGGCATGCCACTGCCATGACAGGCGGTGAGCCGTTTTACCAGTATGCAAGCCGTGGTACGCCATCAGGTTGTATTTCAGCGTTACAGTTAAACTTTTGAGGCGCCTCAAAAGTCATTTGGTTGACATGCGAGCAAGCGCACTGTCATGCCTGGTTGTAAGCCACGGCTTGCGACATCACGTAGTCTTTTCAGCTTCACGGTTTGAAACGTTGCGGAATCGGTAGGGACGGGTCGTTACCTTTGCAGTTGCAGACTTCGAGGCGTGCTTTACCTTGGCGTCAACTGCACCTGCGATTGGGCGATCATGGGAGGAAGGAGGGATGAACATTCTCGGAGAAAGCGGTGCTATGCGCCAATGCAGCAGCAGTGAAAGTTTCTCAATTTGATTTGAGAACTCTCAATAGCGATACACGGATGAACGTCGAGGAAACGAAAAGCGAGAAAGCGGTACTATGAGCCATGCAACGGCAGTCAAAGTCTGCTATGTGAATCTGCCATGAATTTGCAAGATCAATCTGCTATGTGAACCTGAATTCACTGTGAGATACGCTGTGAATGGCTCGCACGAGATGCTAGTAGGCTCTTTTAACGTGGCGCGGGAAGAATACAGTGTACTGAATCATGGTCGGCGAGACATGGGCTTTGCGCGAGTTTGACACGTCACGGTGGCAGACGTACTCGAGGAGAGCGCGAGAAGAGCCACACACGCCGCGATCGCCGCTGAACTTCTCCGCATCTTAGGACCTTGTGTTTTGCTCTCGAAGTAGCTCCTGTCTGGATTTTTTTTTGCGACCGTGAGGACGTTCGAACAAGCCACTGCCGCGCGCGCGAGAACTATAGGCGAAACTGGACTTAGCTACTGCTAGCAGCAGTAAGGAAAAAAAGTCATTGAAGAGCAGTTATAGACGCGAGTCAGTTGTGCGAGGTAGCCGCATCAGGAAGCAGTGGAAGTGTAATGAGGCGCCTCAACAGTTTCTGGGGTCAGGAGGATAAGGTTCTGCGTTCCCTGAGGACACGATGGGCCGTGCGACAACACAAACGGTAGCCTGTGCCCGTGATTGAAAAGTGATAAGTCGCGGGCGAGGCAAAAACCGACATGATCGCTGGAAGGTCTGTTCTAGTGGGCTAAAAGCAAGTCTCGTGAGGGTCGATCTGAAAAGGGACTTGCCGCGGATGGGACGGGACAGGCCCAGGCTCCTAGCCGCGATCGTCGGGAGAACATCACGAAACTTCCCGTAATATTCTCGTCGAGATATGCGGCGGATGATGGGCCCTGTTGCATTCGGACGATTTCTTTGTCCAGATGCTGTGCAGAATCCCGAGCAGCGATTTATTTTTGTTCTTCCGCAAGCCCTCATGGCACATCTCAATCGATCAACACAGAAGGTGTTGGAGGCAAGGTGGAAGCTGCAAGTTTCCTTGAAGTGATGAGAGGGAGAGTGATGGGAGGGTGATATAGGCGGTTCCAAGGGGATGCGATGTGATTTCATGGGGTGGGATGGGATGGGATGAGATGGTCTAGGATGGAATGGGAATGGGAGGGTGATATAGGCGGTCCCGCGTCGCCCTCGACATCTCCTTGCAAAATTGCGTATTTGGCGTCTCGCCTTCTTATAGGTCTCGCGCCTGCCTCTCGCGCCAACTAGGTTACCGCCTGGTTTGTCGGCCGTTGCAAGTGAGGGATTGGTTCGCTGGGAAAGCTGTGACAGGGCATGGCAATTGTCGGCGGCTAGAAAGGGGTTCATCCACATCATACGAAGTCGGGCAAGACCTGTCTAGATTCACTATTTACCGTTTGTCGCGCCCGCAAATACTGTAGCTGCTGAACTTTGTCGGCCACGTTGTCGCGGCGGCACCCTCCACAAATACATCACTCATTACAGCGCGTACGCTTTGTATATAGCTCATTGCTTTGTATCAGACAATTACTCTTGCTGTATTTTACAACTTGGTTGCTCGCCATGGTAGAAAGCCCACTGTCAGCTGCTGGTCCTTGATATCTCAATAGAAAATTCTTTTCTTAATATGCTTTCCAAATGTTACGAACAGTAACATTTGTTCATTACTGTGCACTCCTCACCGCAGCAAAAGAAGCATGCAGTATCGAGAATGAACACGAAGAGTCAGAGTTGACTCGAAGCGTCAGACGGTTAAGCTGCATCTGGACCGTCGGAGCAGATGGCATCTACAGGCAAAACGGCTTTGGCGGGAACAGTTTCGTAACTGTACGCGCCGCACGGTTGGGAATGAATTTGAATAAGGGAATGTACCCCTTAGAGTACATGGCTAGCTAGGACGTTTCGCCTTCCCTGTACTCATATTTATATTTGTTGTATTTGCATGTTTTATTTCATCTCAAACTTTTTACATTAACTCTGCTATTGAGGTCAAGTGCCCACCAACTTCATTTTCTCTGTGCGAACCTTCCCGAGTAGATCCTGGGAACGATCAACTTCTGATCGTAGCATGGTATGAGAGCGGCTCGGGAATCCTTCGCACTACCACTCCCGAAAATTGCGACATTCGGAAAGTGGCGTCCGGCACACGATCGTGTGTCAGAATGGCCGGAGGATCTGGTGGTCAGACTAATCTGACGGCTGAAGCGCAACCCAACCCGGCTGCGACAAGCGAGAACACGACAACGATCGGCACCGAAGTTCTCGCTCAACTTCTTCAGCGACTCACCAGCTTGGAGCAAGGGCTCCAAACATTACGGAACGGCGATGCGGGAACATCCTCGCAACCATCTCAACCGGCCCCAACTGGGCAGAACGCCGTCCCGCAAACCTTCTCCCTCGACACAAATGGCTCAACCCCCAAGGCTCCCCGTCCCAGTGAGGAAGCAATTCTCTCAGCACAATCAAAGTTTCTCAGCATATCAAAAATAAAGACAAGTACGCGTTTCGACGGCAGAGACTTCTATACCTGGAGCTTCGAATTGGAGCTCTTGCTGCAGAACGCCCAAATTTACCATTATTTCGACGGGAGCTACGCGGAACCCGCTGAGGACACCGACGAAGCCAGGACTCGCTACTACATCGAGTCCCTGATGGCGTACGGAATTCTCCTTCGCAACATGTCGCCGGCGGAGCAACTAAACATCCGATCGTACAAGACATCGGCTGCTCCAGCCCTCGACGCCTGGCGCCACCTGAACGGCGTGTATCAGCCGAAGGACTCCGTTTCCTCGAGCCGACTGCTTCAGCAGCTGCTGGAGACCAAAATGGTCTCAGGGGAGAAGGTCAACACCAACATCAATCGCTGTCGGAGCCTTCGCGATCAAATCGTGAAGCTAGGGAGTTCGATTTCCGAAGAAATATTTGTGAACATCGTGCTTC